AGCACTGGGTGCTCACCATGCAACTCTGAAGAAAATGGGGAAACTCACAAGGTCAGGAAAGACTTCCAAGCACTTACAGCTGATGTTACAGTCTTCAATTTTAATAATGATACATATTTGTAGTTTTCAGAGAAGTTTTTAATATTTCTCTGTCCACTTTTTATAAGCTTTAAAATGATTTCTCTGCCTTGAGATTTGCATCAAGAAAAAAACACCTCTCTTCGCCTGAAAGCTTTGAAGACTAGAGACCACACTTCACACGTTTTAACAAGTGTGTTTGAGTCCACGTTTGGTGACATCAGTTGTTGAGTTAAAAAGAAAATCAATTATTGCATTTGATCTGGATGGATTTTTCAAAGAACATGATGTTCAATATTCAAAGGCTGATTAACATATGCCACCGTAATGTTCTATTTTATGTAAAAGAACAAGAACCTGGAGACATTACCATGCAAAAGTCTTTTATCATTAGCTCCTGTATTTGAGGAAGAGCAGCTGTCTTTTTATATGTTTTTTGACAAATCATATTGTAATTCTTTTGTACAAAAAAGAACTACTTGTATTCTAGAAGAAATATGAAATGCTTAATTTATAAGCGGGCTGGAGATTTTTTCCAATACTGTTTTCTTTGAAAATGAAAGGGGATCATCTATTTTAGTTTTGGGGTTTGGGACCTTTTTGAAAATTCTAATTTGTGGACCAATGTTTTGTGAAAGCTAAGGAAGGGCAGGGGTGAAATAGGGCTTGAATCGACTCATTCTGTATAGACCAGCACCCTTCCCTCTGCAAAGCAGGCTCAGATCACAGACCCAAGAATGTTTGCATCCTAAGCGCTAGTTTGCTTCAGCCCCTGGTGACCTCAGGACCTGGTTTGAATATCAAAGGTAGACAGCTGATGCATTTTCATGAGTAAATATTGTCCGCCAGAAAACAGTTGGTGTCAGGTATTTTTTTAAAGCTTTGTTTTATATTTATTTTTCATTTAGTTTTTATTGGGAATGGTTTTCAATAGACCTCTTAGTTCTGCTTGGGTGTTTTTTGGGGGAGCCCTCTTTTCCATAGTGTAATTCCATTTCAGAGGTTGTCTAAAAAAGTCTTGTTTAATTCGTAGGAAGAGTTTACTATCTGAGAATCATCAGGTTAAGGATATAAACTTCCTGTTACAACAGATAAAAGCACAGAAAGAACAACCCAGAAATCATACAACGTTGGTCATTTCAATTTTTTGTACCTCTTTTAAATTCTGTTAGTATATTTACTTCATTGTAAATATTTTTGAGGGTACCTTTGTATTTTGCTTTTGACCTTGGTTCTGTGATTTGGATGTCAACAGCTTCCCTAAAAAACACCAGTATGTTAAGTTCTAATGTCATGATCCCAGTCTGGGTTATTCATCTTTAATCCTGTTTTCAGTCTTTATGTACAGCAGTATTTTTAATAAAGAATTACAGAGAGAAGTTTGTCTTTTTTGGAGTACATTTATTTAACAAGATGGTTAAGTATGTCTCAAGTGTTTCATGGAACATGTTTATGTTAGAATATTATTTATCTGAAATTCAAATTTAATGAACAATCCTGTATTTCATCACATAACTAGGTGTGGGGAGTATGGTAGGGTGATAGAATTTCAAATGGGATGATCTGGGTAATAGGCCCCACTGAGTGGTGGTATTGGAGCAAGGACCCGAAGTAGAGAAGCCAGCCATGCAGATGTCTAAGGGAAAAGAATTCCAGGTTAGCAAATGTGCCAGGAATGTTTGAGGAATGACAGGGAGGCGGATGCGGCTACAGTGGAATAAGCAGGAAGTGACTCCATAAAGGTAACAGGGAAGGGGTGGTGGTGTCTTGTGGACCATTTTAAGATCATTTGGATGTTTGCTAGTGTTGAAAGTAGAAACTACAGGAGGATTTTGAGCCGAATAATAATATACAATTTTAAAAGGATCACTTTGGCTACTAAGAGGAAGCTCTTGCAGAATTTCAACTGAAAGATCATGGGAATTTGGATTGGGGTGATAGCAACAGAGTTGGTGTGAATTGATGGGATTCTGGGCATATTTGGAAGGTAGAGCCAACAGATGTCCTGATTTATTAGATGTGGAGGAAGAAAGAAGTCAAACAGCTGTTAAGGTTTTGGCCCAGTACTGACAGGATAGAGGATTCTACAGAATTCAAAGAGAGGAAAGGCGATAGGCAGTTTTGGGGCCTATTAAGTCTGAGATGTTTAGCGCACACTTGATCTGGTTATTTATTATTTTCTAACAAGTGACATCACACTTAATGGCATAAAACAAAAACCATTTTATTACCCTTAGGGATTCTATGGGTCAGGGATTTGCACAGGGCGCAACCGGGATGACTTGCCTCCGGTATGTTTGGGGCCTCAGCTGGGAAAATGACAGTGACAAGGGGCTGAAATCACCTGGTCTGGCACCTGAACCGAATGACTTGAAGGCTGGGCTCACTCAGCCGGGGACTGACAATGGAAGCACCTGCACATGGCCTCTCCGTGTGGCTGAGGCTACAGCAAGCATGGTGACTGGGTCTCTAGTGGGAGTTTTTGGAGAATAAATGTCCCAAAAGACTCAGAAAGTGCATTCTCTTTTCTGACTTGGCCTTGGAGCCATGCAGTGTCATTTCTGCCACATTCTGTTGCTTACAAGAATTTGACGGGGAAGTGGCCAGGGCACATTACCAAAGGTCTTGTGGGATGACAGTTGTTGCAGCTCTTGGGGGGAAATAGAGTCAGCCACAGCATCAAAAGGAGATGTCCGTTTAGTAGTTGCATATATATGAATTTGGAGCTTAGGGGAGAGATCTGGTCTGTACATGCCATTGGCAAGTCACAGAAGATGTCTTTTACAGCCCTGAGATTGGTTGAAATGAGTGAGCATGCATTCAGAAGTAGAAAGGTCCACAGGCAGAGCCCTGGGGTAGCTGAAACAATGTTGAAAGGTCAGAGAAAAGAAAACCACTTAGAAATGGTCAGTGAAATAGGAAGCAAAATGCGTGATGTCCTGGAATCCCAGGAAAGGTGCTTTCAGGACTAAGGGTCAAATTGTTAAGTCAAGAAAGCTTGAGACTGAAAATTGGCCACTAGGTGTAGCAACACCAGGTCCCCCCGAGTAACTTTACCAAGGGTGGTTTCAGGGAATGTGAGTGAAAGTTCAAGGGGTTTCAGAGTCCTTGGGAAGAGAGGACTGAAACCGAGTATAACTACCTGAGGGACTGGCTGTAAAGAGAAGTAGGGTGGTGGCCGGAGGGCGAAATGGGGATGGTTTTTTTTTTTTTTTTTTTGGTTTTGGTTTGTAACATGGGAGAGAGAATAGTGTGTTTGTATGATCCAGTAGGAACGGCCAGCTGGGTGGGGAACTGCCGGAGCAATGTCCTTGAGTGGGTGGGAGGACGGGATCCGTGCGCCAGTGTGTGTGGACCTGGCCATCTAGTTGGGAAGGAGGAGTACCTGAGTACAGGTGGTGGTGGGTGGGTAGGTGTGATGGTTCTCTCAACTTCAATTTTCCCTTTGATGTGAGGATACACCAATAGTACCTATCACATTGCATAGCTTTGAAGGTTATTTATTCCTCCAAAGCACTTAGACTAGCTTCTGTCACCCAGAGTTGAATTCATATATATTTCGGTCTGAAATATATTAATATTTCAGTCTGACATTAAGCCCTTACTCTTTTGAAAATGACTTTTTCTTCTATGCAAAGTTGTAGTAAATGGTAGGTTTTTTCTTTTAATTATCTTTCATTGAAGAATAGTATACATATACTTGTGCAAACAAGTGTATAGCTCAGTGAATTATCACAAAATGGGCATACCTATGTATCATACCCAGATCAACAAATAGAACATTAATAGTATCAAGTGTTTTTTTTGGTTGGTTGGTTGGTTGGTTTCATTTTTTTCTCCCTTAAAATGTCCTTAGTTCAAACATTAGAAGGCTAGGCATCCCTGTGTTGGGACCTAGGACTCTCCTGAAGAATTTCCTGGCCTATAAAACCCAAAAATCAGGTAGTATGTTTAACATCAAAGAGTCCAGTAAACCTAGCTGGAGGGAAGAAAAAAATCAATTCCCAAATGTACTACTGTTAAGTTTCCAGAGTCATGAGAAAATTTCTAAACTATGATGTGACACCAATTCCTTGAGCATTCTTCAAATCATTTGCCTAAATGAGTGACTTTACTCTTATGTTATGAAGTTGAAAGGATTTCAGATTCTTGAAGATAAAAAATGCTGCTTGCCCTCTTCAGTTACACACAATTTGCTGAGATTAGTCATGTATTCCTTTTTCTTGCCTTTTTCCCCAAAAAGGCTCATTTTGTCTCAGCCGTCTAGTTTCTGCAGGATGTTACACTAGGAAGGTGATGGTATGGGCCCTTGCTAAGAAAATGTGCTGGTCTCTTACTCTCTGTCTTAGTGATTACCTGAATTCCCTTCCTGGGACATACTCCACAAAACAAAATTGAAGAATACTTAACTAGTAGAAGTTAGTGTTTTCTTAGAGAAAACACTTTTCTTAGGGAAGCTCTTGTGTCCTAGGCTTTTGCCTAATTATTTGTATGGTTTCCTGCACACAACTGCCTCTAATACTCACTCATACCCTGTAATTACAGTAATTAGTAACTGAGAATCAGTGTTTGGGAAAGCCTGCCTCTTTTTAATTGAGGCCCTTTCATCTGCAGCCACCATCACACTCAGCCTGCACATTTTATTTGGGGTCTTGTTCATTTAGTGTTTAGTTTTCTGGGCAGTCTGCCTATTTTGGGCTGTTTGTTACTGACTATTTGCAGCGTCCTTGTTGCTGAGCGGCCCTCTCGTAGTGTTGCTAGAAGACCCTCTGCCCTCTCTGTAGCACTGCTTGCTGTGTCGTTACTGTGCTGTGTTTAGTAATTGGTATGTAATGCGATCTCCCTGAATACTGTTCCCAACTCCAGGGAAACCTATGACCCCTTTTTTCATTTTGAAGTAAATCAGGGAGAAAATACATAGATGATTTTGGAAGTTAACTTTATTATATGAAGATAGCATACAAAATACATTCATAGTGACTAGAGCCGTAGGACCAAATTATGTCTTACTTATATCTGCAGCATATATTCTTGGTTTGTATAAAAGTAACTTTAAAATTCCAGTTTCCTTAAATAGTTGCGCACAACACACACACATACACGTAATATATACACATACAACCACTACCACTGTCAGTCAAAGATGTGCTCCTCCTTTAATCAGTTAAAAGGGATTGGCAAGTATTTTTCATGTTTGACATTCTTATGGGCTGGGAAATGGCACAGCTAGAAGATCTGAGTAACAATTTTCAGGATTTGGACAGATTAACTCCATGGGCTGAAACTAAGGTCTGAGCATCATTTCTTAGACTACCTAGATACAGACTTGTGTGGTTTCAGTCCATTCCACCCACACAGTTACACGTACATTATTTCACAAATCCTGAAAGGAAATGCTTCTTTTTTAATAGTTCGTTAGTGCCAACCATTTTTGTTAGAACTGACAAATGGTTCTAATAATACCATCAGTTAATGAGTGTTTTGATTTTCACTGCTGTTCTAATGAACCAGGTTATGGCAAGCACTTGCAACGAGATGTCCTCTCTGGCTGCAGGCTTCCGTTGTGCTAGGTTAAGACTCCAGGTGGAACCATTTTGTGACGAGGACTCGTGTAGGCTACAAACTGGAGTCTTTGAAGAGGCTGAATTAACATGGTTCTAACAGATTTTTTTTTTCTTTTGGAAAGATGGTATTACTAAATTCTCTTAATGGTATTACTGAAATCAAGATATTATATGTCAAGCTAAGGTTTTTCTTTGTTTTTACGAATTGCTGGATCTTTATCTGTTTGAAAAAACGAGAGGATTAAGGTCTTCTTTTATTTTCCCTATCTAATCTCCTGGTTACCTGCTTTGTCCTGATGCCAGTGGTCACGGGTGTTTTTGTGCATGTAAAGAAGAGGAAAAACAAAGCTTTTCCCTCCTTCTAGCCCTGGCCTAAATTTGTTTGGACCTGGCTGTTGGCTGGAGGCTCCTTCAGCAGAGCCACCATCGGTGCACCACTGTCACCAGGGACGTGCCGACTCTCCCATCTCTTCATGCAAAGAACCTTGAAACCAGCATGTGACACACAGGAAAGGATGCAAAGATTCTTCTATTATATTTCAGGTCCTAGAGTTAAGTTTCAAGCATGAAGGGAAGCTTACTGTCCTCTACCAGAAGCAGCAATCCACTGTTGCCTGCCCAGCTCTGACTGGCTTCAGGAGGTACATACGTCCTAAATACATAGCATCAGACAGAGCCTGCTGAGAGACCCAGGGTTGTGAGACCCTGGAGGCCAGGCACCCTTTGTACCCTGTCTCCCTGCTTCCATCATCATCAGACCCAAGGCAAGGTCCAAAGCAGATGAAAAGAAGCTTTTCTCCTATTGACGGCTCATTAATATCCTGAGTCCCAATTCTAGAGATATCTTGCATAAATTACATACCACCTTTTTTCTCAAGGAGCATAAAGTGCTTTAATAAACATTGGTTAATGCTCTTGAATATCTTCCTAAGAGACTAGCATGAGATAGTGGAACCCCCATTCAATAAAAAGAAAACATGACTGACATCCTATCCTTTGAGTCCCAACTGCTTCAGGGAGTTGCTTTGGTTGGTAGCAGTTGGGGTTTCACTTCGCCTTATATTTATTCCATTTGTCCTAGTTGTGACATCGAGAAAACCCTTCACAAGACTACATTTTCCTTCTCAGCTTCCTTTTATAGCTAACTATACAAAACAGGTTAATACAAAACATTGAGTTACACGTCTTGCCTATGCATTAATACTCAAAATAGAATGTGACAGTGTTTTTCAAAATGTGGCTTTACTCCCAAAAGATATCCTTTGCAAAGCCAACTCCCTCCCATTAGCCTACTAGGAGTAGCATGCTGTCATGCCGTGGAGCCGGCAGTGTGTCTTGCTAAAGGGCTAGGCCAGCAGTGTGGGCTCAAATTTGAGCACCACCCTGTGCTAGGAATCAATGTGCCCTCTATGGGAATGGACATAGTGCCAGTCCCATAGCTAAAGTTTTAAAATTTGTTTGCAGTTCCAAAAAATGTTTGTCCTTTCCTAGCCTCCCAGAACCTAGAAAATGTCCCCTCATCCCTCTGTCCTGCCCGCTCCCTGGTTCTCAGATGAGGAACAGGTTAGGTCAGGGTTCTGGAAGCCACTGACGTGGCACTGCTGATAGCCCTCGTCCCTTCCCAGATGGTGCAGTGCAAATCCTTTCTCCTGCCCTCTCCTGTTTTCTCTCCCATCCCTTCTCCCTTTGTTTCTCCCCACGTGTCTGTCTGCTAGAGGACCCCAGAGACACGGGTCAGGCCAGCTGCCTCCTGGCTGTGGGGCTCCGGTGGCTGACCCGGTGGGGTCCTGGGGCATCGCCTGATCAGTTCATCGGTGTATCTCCCGACTCACCCAAAGGCCTGCGCCCTGAGGTCTTGGGGGTAGGAGCCAGTCAGTCGCGGGGCTTGGCAAGGGTCCCTAACACACACTTGTCTAGTAATGTGAGGATTTAGTAGCGCTCTTCACTTGTCACTATTACTCTTTCTGGGGTTACATTCTTGTTAGTCAAAAGAAAAAGCACTATTAAAAATCACAAAAAGCAGCCGGCTCCTGTGGAAAGGTAAAGGTGTAAATTTATATATGTATAATACTGGCAAAAGCTAGTTTTCTGGGGGTATAAATACGCATGTGGTTCTAGAAGTCAGGCTGTGTGCCGAACTTTACACAGGCGGGGTGGAATATAAGACCACCGAGTTGTAGTCCGGCGGCGGAGAGCAGCACGACATCTTCCTTTCCAGCTCTGAGTTGTCGTATGTAAATCTGCGCTTGCCTTTGTTGATGTGCCCACAGCTGGAATGGCAGAAAGTGGGCCTGGCGAGGTCAGAAAGCCCCGATTCCTTACTTCTACTGGTCACTCTCAAGCTAAAGAAAGAGAAGAAAAAAAAGCAAATGAACAAAATTGGATCCTTGAACACAAACACCAATGTCTACCCTCTCCTCGTGCGTCAGTTGTTCAGAACTGTCCTGGCATTAGTGGGTATCCAAGCTCATCTCCACCTCCGGTCAGATGGACTGCCCAGAGCTGCATGCTGACAAACGCTCCTACCCCGAGATGGACTGATGTCAAATCTGCCTGGAAGAACGGATCTGCACTGTCTCCTCATGCATCTCGTCACGCACTGCCAGTCCGTGGAACCCGTGAACAGCACCTCATGTGGCAGAAGCCTGGCATTACCGTACATGGCAGGAGATGCGCTTAAGCTAAGGATTTTTGGAGGAGGAGCTTATCCTGAATTAATCTAAGTGGGCCCTAAGCACAATCCCACGTAGCCTCATAAGAGACGTGGGAGGAGGCCTGGTGAAGGCGGAGGAGAGAACGGGGGCCATGAGCCAAGGAGAGCCAAGGAAGCCTGGAGACCCGCAGAGGGAAGAAGCAACGAAGGGCTCCCCCAGGGGTCTCCCAAGGGGGCACAGGCCTACCAATGCCTGGCTTTGGGGCTTCTGGCCTCCAGCGCTGCAGAAGAAACTTCTTGTTTGAGCTACAACAGCCTCAAGAAACCAACAGAGCTTCCTACAGAAAGGTTAGTGCCGTTGTCGCCCCGTCGTGCGTCCTAGAAAACCTAAGTTAGGGGGACCGTGTATCACCAGAAAGGCTCGGAAGTGAAGAAACTTGCCTCTGGGTTCTGCACATTAGAGCCAACCTCAGACAGACAGACAGTCAAGGAAGAAAAGCTTGTCTTTCAGACTTTGATTTTCTTTGAGTAGCTGGGATGAGAATGAGGAAACCCGCGCGCCACTATGGGAGCGGTTCTGGGCCAGCGCGCTCCTCAAGCGCTTGATCCACGTTCGGTACTCAGTCTCAGAGCAGAAGATGCAATGTATTGTTTTTCTTTCTTCACAAAGATCTAGATAAAGTGGCCAGCCATTTTCTGAAGTATTCCCGAATAAGCAGCAGAAGAGCCTGGCCTGCTTCTCCCCCACCCACTCACTGCCCACAAGCGCTCGCCCCTCAGCTCTGCTGACGTCTGGGCTTGTGTGGAAGGAATCGGGTATGCAGAGGGTCGGCTGGCAGTGCTCCGTCCTTTGGATTCACTGGTAGTTGATGCATTGTGTCACTGTGTCACTCAGAGGCATTAGTTGCCATCTGTTGATGCACATCAGGGTCAGCAAACTACAGCCTGTGGGTGGCTCCCTGTTTGGTTTTCTTAAATGACACCTTCACTGAGAGATAATTTACATACCATACGGTTCACCGTGTACACAGTGAGTAGTTCTTAGTGTACCCACAGACAGTGTGACCAGCACCATAGCCAGCTCTAGATCCTTCTCTTTGTCCCCCCCAACCTGCACCCATTAGTACACCTGGTCCCTCCTCTTAGCCCCCCACCCCAACCCTAGGCGACCACTGACCTCCTCTGGGCATCTCGTACAAATGGAATATCCATTTTATGTGCTGTTTTAAAACCACATGACTGGTTCCTTTTATTTAACAATGTTTTCAAGGTTCATGTTGTAGCATGTTATCAGTCTCTCATACTGCTGATTAAAAAATAATATTCTACTGTATGAATATACTGCATTTTATTTATCCATTCATCGATTACAGATATTTGGGCTGTTCCTGCTTTGGTTGCTATGAACAATGCTGTTAGGAGATTCTGGGTACAAGTGTTTGTGTAGACGTAAGTTTTTGTTTCTGCTGAGTGTATACCTAAGGAGTGGAATTGCTGGGTCATAGACTGACTCTTCTCAACCTCTTGAGGAACTGATAGACTGTCTCCCAAAGTAGCCGCACCATTTTCCAGTCCCACCAGCAGTGTACAAGGGTTCTTACTTCTCCACATGCTCACCAACACTGACTTTTGATTCTAGCCATACTAGGGGGTATGAAGTGGTATCTCGCTGTGGTTTGGGCTTTCACTTCCCTGATGACCATCTTTTCTTGTGTTCGTTGGCCACAGCCACCTGTTTTTGTAAATAAAGGTAACTGGGACACAGCCACACCTCCTTGTTTACATATTGCTGACGGCTGCTTCTGTACTACAGGGGCAGAGTTGACTAGCTATTGACTAACAGGCTCTTTAGGAAAAAGTCTGCTGATGGCTGATTTAGATGAAAGAGGAGCTGGTTCTGCCGTTGGGTGAGACACGGGCAGGCATTTGAACCAGGAAAGGAAGGGACGCCTGATAGGCCCAGCCTTTGCCCACCTGGCACTGCTCCTAGGTTGAGACCAGCAGAGAGAAGCCGAAGTTCTACACAGGGCCAGCAGGGTAGAAAGCATGAGCCTGAGTAACTGGCCATGGTTTCTGATGGCCACTGTGCCAGGCTCAACAGGACACAAGCCTACATCTAGAAGCGCTGGGTTCTCAGGACAGCAGGTCTCAGGACTGGGAAGCACACTGTGACCCTTCTTGTACAGACATGGGCAGCATGGGGGAAAGAATAGGTGAGCATCCCCCCACACCCCCCGGCATGTGTCCATCTGATTTCTGTACTGTTCACAGTCCGGCATATCAGATTCCTTTCACCTGGGCCACCAGGCTTCATGTGTTTGGACTGCCTGTCTTTGCAGGAGTTTTCTGCATGTTTTCTTTTCTTAAACCCCAGAGGTTGGTGCTCATTTGTCTGATTCTATGCCCTCTTCTTGCCCTTCTGGGAAAAAAAACAAGTGTTCTTCTGCAGCACCTGGACACTAAGGTTCAGGAGGGTAAGAAGCCCCCAGAGATCCCCATTCCAACTTTCTTACTCAATCTTCAGCGAGGTCTTCGGTTTGCTCTCAGCCCAGGTGAAGCGCTTCAGCAAGGGGGAGGCCAGGAGGGGGCTGCCGTCCACCTGGTAGTCCTGTGGGGAGAAAGGGCACAGGTCACACTTCTCGCATGGCCCAGAGGGGTCCATGCCCAGCCTGGGGGTGCCATGGGGGTGACCATGTGAGCCTCTGGCCTCTCCTGCCACATCCCCACCTATTAAGACAAAGCATTTTCTCCATGTTGGCAAGTCTAAACATTGTCAGTTGCGAGAAATGCCCATTTCCAGTGCCTATGAGGCCCTTCTGCCTTAAAGGTGAAGAAAATAAATGTAAATTGAAGGAAAAACTGGGGGTAACAGGTGAGCATTTTTCATGGTAAACCTTTATGCGAACTATTGCATGGTTATATTAAAACTAATTTTGGACTCAGATGTGGGTTGATTTAATATGGACAGGAGCAGATGGAAGGAAATTAGATGGAAAGCCCAATAGGATCTTACTGAAGCTATGGCAACAGCTGAAACCAGAGCAGCAGTTCCAGCCATTCAGACCAAAGAGGCAGAGGCCAGAGACAGAGCCACGAGTCTGGCCTGTGTGTTTGCAAGACTTCCTGCTGGGAGGGAGCCAACCTCACTTGAGCCCACACAGGAAGGTGACTGGGGAACATGGTTTGACTGAGGGGAAGGTCGAGGTATCTGCTCTGAGGGACCGGCGGGGACCGGAGGCCACATGTTGAAATAGCTATCCATTGGTGCCCAGTGAACATACGTGTCCTGGCTCTGGTGGACACAGGGGCTGAATGTTCACTGATTCATGGTAACACTGAGCGGTTTCCCGGGACCCCCACTATCATAGATGGATACGGGGGGAAAGGCTATCAGAGTGAAACAAGCCCAAATCCCTTTGAGAATAGGGTGTCTACCCCCAAAAGAGTATGCTGTGTATATCTCTCCCATCCCTGAATATATTTGGGGGATTGATATCCTGCAGGGACTGTGGTTGCAGACCACTGCAGGTGAGTTCAGACTGAGAGTACGTATGGTGAAGGCAGTTCTGAGGGGACATGCTAGGCACCCGCCCATAGCTTTGCCTGTGCCTTGGCAGGTGACTAATACCAAGCAATACAAACTGCCTGGAGGGCATAAAAAAATTGGAGAAACCCTCCAGGAACTGGAAAAAGTGGGTATTATAAAGCCCACCCATAGTCCTTTTCAATTCCCCAGTGTGGCCAGTAAAATAGCTGGATGGCTTCTGGCGTGTGACTGTGGATTACAGAGAATTGAGTAAAGTCATACCCCCTATGCATGCTGCTGTCCCCTCTGTTGCAGGACTGATGGATACCCTCAGCCATGAACTAGGAGCATACCATTTTGTGGTAGATTTTGCTAATGCCTTCTTTTCCACTGACGTTGAGCAGGAAAGTCAGGAAGAGTTTGCCTTCACGTGGGAAGGACTGCAATGGACTTTCACGGTCCTCCCACAGGGATACCTCCACAGCCCTGCCGTCTGTCATGGACTTGTAGCCCAGGACTTGGCTACATGGGAGAAACCGCCAATGGTGCGGCTGTACCATTGATGATATTATGCTCACGTCCAATTCTCTTTCAGATCTAGAAGGTGCAGCACCTAGACTGCTGCAACATCTACAGGAGAAAGGATGGGCTGTGAACAGTACCAAGGTTCAGGGACCTGGTTTGTCAGTCAATTTCAGAACCCATCACTGGAATGGCCCTGATAAAGGTAACAACCACCTATCTCATCTTGGGGTGGGTATAAGACTGGACCCAGAAGCCAAGGAGTTGGTGTAGCACAAATGCCTACACTGGCCAAGTGGGGTGCTTACCTACAGCAGAGTAGTGCCCTCTCTAGAAGCCCTCTGAGTGAAGAACTCCAATGCTTATTGGGGCCGGTGACATATACTAGTGAAAAGCAAAAAGAACTTGCTTTTGAACCATTAGTAGCAGAGAGTCCTTATTGGGAGGGAAGAGCCCCTCTACCTGAAGATGCATGGTATACAGACAGCTCCAGCTGTGGGCAGCCCCCAAAATGGAGGGCCATTACTGTCCATCCTAAGACTGAGACAATATGGATGGAAGATGGAGAGAGGAAGAGCAGCCAGCAGCCAATGGGCAGAACTGTGGGCAGTGTGCCTTGTGATCAGCCAGGAGCCCTCCCCTATAGTCGTCTGCACTGACAGCTGGGCTGTCTATCGGGGCTTGACCCTGCAGCTACCAACCTAGTACCATGGCAACTGGTTGGTTGGTCACTGACCCCTTTGGGGGCAAGAATTGTGGCAAGGCTTATGGGCCTGTGGTCAGCCTAAAATAATTACAGTGTACCACGTGACAGGTCATTTGCCACTGGCATCCCCAGGAAATGATGAAGCAGATAAATTGGCCCAGATATGTTGGTTAGAAGGAAAGCCTGCCTCTGATGAAGCCCAATGGTTACATCAGCATTTGTTTCATGTGGGGCAAAAGACAATGTGAGCTGTAGCTTGTCAATGGGGCTTGCTTGGACCTTTGAAGAAGTTAGTAGAGTCCGGCAGGAGTGTGTCCTGTGCTCCAAAAGGGACTTACACCAAGTTCCACAGCAACATAGGACAACAGTTAAGGGGCCTATACCCCTCGTCAGGTGGCAGATAGACTATATTGGGCCTCTACCTGTGTCAGAAGGATAGCGGTAAGCCATGACTTGTGTGGACTTCTGGTTACTTTTCCTACATGTTGTACAGACCAGCAGATGACCAAAAGAGGCCTAGAGTGTCTCTTTGCTAGAGAGTATGGTTTGCCTATGGCCGACCATAGGTGATTGAGAGTGATCAGGGCACCCATTTTACTGGACACACACTGCAAGAATGGGTGCGACAGCTGGGAATCAAGTGGAAGTTTCATGTGCCATACAATCCTACCGCAGCAGGCATGACAGAGAGGCACAGTGGCTTGTTAAAATCCGGATTGAAGTCAGATACCAGTAGTCTGCAGAGATGGTCAGTCCCCTTATGGACTGTGCTACGGCGTTTGAACGAGAGACCCCAAAAGGGAGCCCTGAGCCCTGCAGACATGTCAATACATATGGCTGCCTCCCCTATACAACTGCAAATACAAACCAAGGAAGAATTGTTGAAGCTGAGGTTTGGCCACCAGAATAATATCTTGTTGCCAGCACCAACGGCACTAAACCCTGGAGACTCCATTGAGTGGACGTGGCCTTGGACCTTTTGACACATGGACCAACCATAGCTTGTTCTCCTGTCACCTTGGGGACAAGGCCTGGAAGCTGGCCTCCTGTGTATTCCTGGAGTAACAGCAGAGTGGCCCCCAAAGATCACAGTAGTATATCCTGAACAGCCAAAAGGTAGGAGCATCTTACTGGGGAGTTTTGTTTCATCATTATGGCCAGTGCATGCACCTCCAGCGGCACTGTTTATAGACCCCTCAGTAACCCCCATGGGGAGAGGGGTAAAGATATAGTATACTAGACCTTGATGGGACCCCCTTCCTGCTACAGTCCTATCACAGGACCACTCTCTTGCATGCATCCTGCCTGATGGACAAGATTTGCCTATGTTGGTGTCATTAAAACATGTGTCTTATCGCCCCTAAGGTTTTTGTGGATTGGGAACTTCCTCTGGCTTGAGGATTATTATAATTTTTGTTACCTGTATCAAAATCTTGTTGTATCTTAATTTTTGTTATTATCTCTAAGTTGTTTTATCCTTTGTTGCTGTTGTGGAATCTGGTTACAGTGCTCCAGCTTTCTCGCACACGGACCATTGAGGAAGGCTGAGAGCCTGTAGATTGTGAGGTGAGAATCCTGGAGGGGTGGAGTGTGGGGGAAGTTGGGGCTCCTATGGCCAGGATCTTCACTGAACCTAAACCACTTGATGATGTAACTGGCCTGTTGCTAGGCTACTGCTTCCACACGCACAGGCAATGAGCTATTATTGACTGATTCACTAGATAAAGAGCTCAGCCCAGTGCTCTGGGTGGAGGCAGAGATGCTCGTGCTTCACCTTCTACCGGGAGAACAAGCCGGGTAATAAACCCTCTCGCTCCGAGAACGTTCTACGGTCATTTCTTTGGTCACATTGAATCCATAGTGAACTTGCCTGGGGCTGAAACCCGTTGGCAAGATAATGATATGCTGTTTTTTGGTGGCCATGATATGCAAACATTCTGAGAAATTGTAAAGATATGGTTTGATTTTTTGTTCTTGAAGATTCCATTGGATTTTCAGGCCCTCCTTGGTCATGGCTTCCAGTGCTTCCATTTTCTCACTAGTTCATCTGTAGCCTCGAGTTTTATGCAGACTCTCCATTACGCTGTTAATGCAGCATTTCCATAAGTGGGTCCCGCACTTTGTTCCGGCCTCCCTTTGGGTCTCTTACTAGGCTGTGTTCATGTCCTTAATTAACAGGCATCAAGCCTAAGCAAGCAAAGAAGCTGTAGTCATCCGCCTGGACTAGGGTGGGGAGAGCTAATGTTCAGTGAAATCTTCCAGGTTTTGCTCAGCATAGTGTCCTGGGATTTGAAATCAAGTACCAAACAAAACTTCCAGCTACATTACTTTATATTCTGCTCCTTATTTGTAATGTTTTTAAATATTTAAATCGTCCTTTCTTCTTTGCCTGACATATTAAAAAAAAGGTTTTGGTGCCTTTCCAGGACGACTGTGCCATGTGCCAAGGCCACATTTGGCAGCCGCCACCTTCACACTGTACTTGGTTACCCTGGCACTGCCAGCACTTCTCACGCTTTCCTGTGCACATAAGTCCCCTGGGGATCTTGTGACAAGGCAGAGGACTCGGAGAGCGGGGTGGGGGCTCCTGAGAGCTGGCATTGCTCCTGAGAGCTGGCATTGCTGGCCCACCGCGTGGCAACGCTGCTTGCCTGGAGATGACGCTGTGAGGGTAGGGGCCTGTGCCCGGCCTGCCTTCTCCCCTCCTGTTCTCTCAGCCCCACATCCCAGAGCTTTAAGGAGACAAGCTGGTTGAGGCCTCTTGTTTTCCCAGGGTGGCTGTGTAGGAACATGGCTGTTCAATCTCTGGAACCTTAGTGGGAACGAGCGTAAGGCCCAGGTAGCTTTATTCCAGGAGCTCAAGGCTACTCTTAAGAGAGGGCTCTCTGTTACATCACAAAGGCCCGACCACTCACACAATTGGAGTTCCTCTATTACTGGGAAGCCAAGCTCCATCACCGATAGCCGAGAGGCTTAGGAACACATGACGAAGTTTCCTATGGGACTAAGTTACCACCCGGCAAGCACATGGGCCCTGGGGTGAATTCTGGGTCATCTTCAAACTATGGAATTACCTGCATTCAAAGCAGCTCTATGTAGTAAGTCTTGTTGTCAGTCCCCTTGAAATTGTCATGTCAGCCACTACTGTAACTGGTCCCCAGTGACCAAGAGCCACCAGACCACAGGAGTTTGTTTGTGTTCAGATGGAGCATGGCAAGGACTTGCCAGCGTGCATTCTGTAGGTTAATCCCAGTACTTACATCAAGCATGGAGATGGCATTTGGTGAAAGTTCTCCAAAGGTTTTGATTCTTTCCAGGCTCATGAAGTTGAAAGCATTTACATATCTGATGAAGAAACAGAAAGAATAATCAAGATGGGAAAATGCATCTAGCTTTTATTTGTCAGGAAACCATCGGCTCTGTATCCCAGCTAGGATGAACCAAAATACCAAGAGCCCTCACTCCTGAGGCTGAAATTCTGCTGTGGTCCCCTGGGAATCCTGACAGAGATGCCATCTGCTCCATGGTGGTTAATCCACATTGCACAGGTTTGAGCAAAACCCCAGACGGACCCTTGAGTGACTGAGTAGTGGGTAGGCCTCTGGTCACTTGTGGAATCGGAAAAGCTGTCAGACCTAGAAAAACCCTGAGTCGTCAACTGGTCTAAACACGTTGCACCTTACGAAGGAAAGAAATGATGGCTGGAGAAGTGACTGGACTCTGTCACATACAGCTGCCTACTTCTGAAAGGAAGTGAGGAGACAAATGAAACAGCCTATTTATTGGCATAGTTAACTACTACGGCTCGTCCTGTAACTGTTCTGTGATTACAGATTGGGAGAAATGGGCAGTATCTGTGCGATTTCCCTGTAACCACCTGCTGATCTTTTATTGATGATCTATTGGGGAGGATCATCAGAGATAAGCACACACGGTTACCCAGAAGGCAAGCTCGCATCCTGAGTTCCTTAGTCTGATACCCTCTCACCATCCACAAGGCCCATTTCTTAGGCAAGCTTCTCACTGGGGCTGAGGCTGGGCAGTATCCGAGAAGGGCCCAAATAATGCTGACCCTTCCCTCCCCATCTCTGACCCAATCAGCCCTGCTGATTTATTTAATCCAAGTTAGTTTTCTCCTCTTTAAAAAATAGGTGATTCGTTTTTCTCAGCCTTTCAGGCTGGTTGTGAAGTATGAACACTGTCAGGGATGTGAAACCCGTTAATACAAATATGGGCTTACCTGTGGGCTTCTAGGCCTGTCATAGATGGCTATCAGTCTTTTCACACTATTATAGCCCTTCCCCATGCCTCCCCTGGTCACCTGCCAAGTTTAGCTGAATTGAGGTCAAAGCCCTAGGACTGTCCATGAATGAATTAGTGGTTACCAAAGGGGAAGGGGCTGGGGAGGGCAGGTGGGAAGGGAGGGATAAGGGGATTAAGGGGCATTATGATTAGCACACATAATGTAGGGGAGGCATGGGGAAGGCAGTACAGCACAGAGAAGACAAGTAGTGACTCTATAGCATCTTACTATGCTGATGGACAGTGACTGTAATGGGGTATGTGGTGGGGACTTGATAATGGGGGAAAATCTAGTAACCACAATGTTGCTCATGTGAAACCTGAGCATAAGATTGTATATCAATGATACCTTAATTAAAAAAAAAAATTTAAAAAAAAAGCCCTAGGGTTGTGTCTACTGCAGACAAAGATGCTCGAAGGCCCACATAATAGTCTCAAAGTTCTAGAAAGAGTTCTGACTGCATGGGAACAGGGAGGGAGTATTGGGATACCTGGTTTAGAAACTTTATTCTGTTCCCTTCTGGCTACACAATTTTGACAAGCTATCATCCGTGGAGCTTTAATGTCCCCATTTTTGAGACAGGAATAATAATATCTACTTCCTAGGGTTATTTTGAGCATTAAAGGAATTGCATGCAAAGAGCCTAGCTCAGTGCCAGACCACACACAGCATGCACACCCATGTAGCCATTAGTACTGGATGTGTACGACACGTGTGTGACATTAGTAATGATGCGTGTGATACATGTCTGTTAGTACTCATGTATGATATACATCTAACCGTTGTAATGGTGTGTGTGATACACGTGTAACTGTCAGCACTGGACATGTGTGACACCTGTGTCACCACTGGCACTGAAACCCTGACCCCCACCCAGTGCCCAGTGAAGGCACTCATAAATATTTTTTCCCACAGCCCTTCTCTGATTTCCTCTGCGGTAACGAGAGGTATGTTAGTTTGTTTAGTTTTATCTAAGGTCTCATGAAAATCAGTGTCATTAAGAAAAAAAGTGATGGAGGACTTATTCTAGAAAAAGATAGACCAAAGAAACTAAAAAAGAAAAAAATGCCATCTGTTATTCTTGATTGGATCCTTCTTTTTAAAGAAGTATTAAAGACTTCTGGGAAAATTATGGAAATTTGAATATTTAAAAATACTAAGGAATTATCAGTTTCTTCGCTGTCGGAATTTTGGTGTAGATGGACAGGAAAATGTCCTTCTTACAAGATGTATATCAAAGTATTTAGGGGTAAAGTGTCATAGTGCCTTAAGCCCTCTTTCAAATGGTTCAGCAAAAAGAAAAATACATGTAGAGTGTGTATGTAAATACACACGCGGGCAAAATGTTAACTATAGCTGAATTTTGGGGGCTTTGTCTTTTCTTTTGGTATGTTTGAAAATTTTGTGATATAAAGTTAGGAAAGATGAATTCTTACCTGACATTATCGGAACTTCCTGAGTTAAACTTCAGAGCTGAAATATCTTCCTTGAAGAAGTCCTCAGCGAAGGCAGGAGTTGAGTACGTAAACCCACTATTTCCTGTCAGTATGGCGTTTAGTGGGATATAGTCTTTACCATCCTAAAATATCAAAGATACAGCTCTAATTGCATAAATGTTTACCTCAACCTATTTCTGTGAAACATGGCAGCTTCAATTATATCATTTCCACAATCTTAGCTGTGTTTTGGGAAGATAATTCTTGCATACAGACACACACAGACACACACAGACACACACACACACTTTTTTTTAACAGCTAGCGTCAGCTATTAAAACAGGTGAAACACCCTCTTGACTTAAAAGGCATCTGGCCTTCTGATACTCTAGATGCATTTGACTTTACCTGTTGTACATTTGCTTGAAGCAAATCGCCTAGTTTTTCCACAAGTTCTGCAAATCTTGGCCTCTCTTTTGGGTCTTTGTGCCAGCAGTCCAACATGATCTGGTAGCTGTTGGGGGAGAGCACGACAGAAGCAGCTGGAGAGCAGCGGTGGTCACAGAGACCAGCACAGCGGTGGGGGTGGTCACACACACACAGATCGTGCTGTTTGTAGTACGTGGTATCTGCCCGCACTGCTAGGTCTGGGTGTGCAGCGCCACCCCAGCAAAGGCCGTTTGGGCCAGGCCTGCTGGCCCTGGAAACATGTGCGACAAAGGCAGACTAACAACCCAACCCTGCAAAGCACATCACCACCCAGGGTCTCTGGGGTGCCTGTGGTCTCTGCAGAGCAGCGGGCATGAATTCTTTGAGTAAAGCAGAGCTGTTTGGAAAGGAGCCTCCACTGCTCCGTGCAGTGTAGTGCCGCTCCCTTTGCTGTCAAAAGCCGGACAGTATCCGTACAGGTACAAAGCTAACACACACACAGGTACCAGTGTGAGTGGTTTGCTGTACTTGTGACATTCACAGGCTGTAACAAAGGTTGGCTTGGGCGTCTTAAGAAGCATGTGGCGCTTCCAGGTCCTCACTGTTCCCTTATTGGGCTGGGCAGTGGAGGGTGGTGAAGGTGGCCACGTGTCCAGGACCCGTCCCTTCCGAATGGTGGAAGTCCACATGGAGTGTAAGTAGTTCCTTGGACTGTGTATAAGTTTCTTGCACGTGGCTGATGTTTTCCCCTCCCAGCATCCTTATAAACTGGCCTCCCACACCACTCAAGGCGAAACAGTACAGGCCAAGCTTCTGGATATAGAAACGGTGTTTTTCTTAGTATTACAGACGCCAAATCTTGTCCTGCGGTTTAAATGCCAACAGGGTTCCTCTGTGCTTCTCCTCTGACATTTTACATGTCCTTCAATGTGGGCCAAACCTGAACAGCAAAAATGCCATTCAGTGAAAATTCTAAGGGGCACAACTGTGCGGTCCAGGGGTGTGTGTCCTAAGGTTCTGATTTAACTCATGGACAGAATGCTAGGCACTTGGAGGAGCGGTGGCACCAGGTGGCCTCTGAGAACCTCCGTGGGCACTGGTCCTCAAAAGCAAGCTCACCTAATGGTTTGGTGGTAAAATAAAGATTCTACTTTCTGCTGAGCACCCAGGGAGCAGATATCCTAAGTCTCTGGTTAAGCGACAAGAGCTCATAAAGGTCACTTACCTGAATCACATATTCTTCCTACCTTTGTCCAAACCTGTGGGTTAAGACTGTGCCCAGAAGACGAAGCCAGCTCCCTCCCACACCTGTATTTCATCTACTGAACCTACCAGAGCTAATGCCCGGGGGGTGGGGGTGGGGGGGCTGGTTCCACCAGCTGCGAGCGCCCTGTGGTGAGGGTGATGTGCAGGCCACTGCCAGGTGCCGCTGCCCTGGGGCTCAGCTCGCAGACACGGAGGACAGTGACAACGGGGACGGGGATCTAACCTGGGGCTGTTGTCCCTACTCTCTGGGAGACATGGAACAGGGCTGCAGTGACCAAGGTCCCTAACTGTCCTCAGCCGGCAGGGCCTCTGAGAGCGATCCTGGCCGGCTGCTAGCAGCCCAAAGGTCTGCGTGGCATCAGACAGACAGTCTGCACAATCCTGTATGGATCTTGTTTTAAGGTAAGTTTATACATTTTACTAATGACTGACATAGGTGCAAAAACGTATACCCTGGAGATAGGCGGTCACTAGACAGAAGCCTGCAACCCCTCACTCCAGGGCGCTCCGGCTGTGGCGGGGGCTGGCGCACCCCCACTATGCCACGTTCCGGCCTCGTTGCCCACCGCCGCATTATCTCCAGCAACAAACGGGTTCTCAGAGGCTGTCTGGAGAACATTACATATGATCTATGAAAGGTAGCTAAGGCAAGAAGGCTTGAACCAGGCAAGCAAAGACGGGCCCTGAGAGCAGGGAGTTTGCAGTCCTGCAGAGGCCCCGCTTATCCAATCAGCAGCATCGCTGGCCGCTGGCAGCTGCAGGGAGGAGGGAGCAGCGCTCTCCCTGGGCTCTGTGACACCAGCCAAAGGACCACCTTCACCTACTTGCTGTTTGTGATTCTGACCCTTGGTTTCCGATTTCTAGTTTCCATTCCTCTTGCCTAAAATCCAGTGCAAATCATCTCAGCAAACACCAAAGAAAAGAAAAAAAAATCAAAACATGTGTTGCTTATTCCCTTATTGAAAGACATCTGATTAAACAAGCTCTGGGCGAGGAACCAAGGACTCAAGTGTTGAACGGTTTTACATCCCTAAGTAAATAGGTTTAATGAAGTAAAGAGACACCAGTTGCATTCAATCCAACTGCCCTTCTTGAAACAAGCCTGGGCTGAGGGGCTGTGAGAAGAGCTTCCATCCCAGCTGTCACCCGAGCTCTGAATGTGCCCGCCACTTCGGGCCAAGCTCAGGTCACACGAGACCCGCTCCGGGGGCTGCGCTTCCCCCTCACCCGGGCCTTCCCGCAGTTGGGACAGACAGGGAGGACCTTGCTCCGTCCGCTTTCACAGGCTTGAACACGGCTGGAGGTTTGAAATCTGGCCTTCTGAACACGCATTTTACAGAGCTGCTGCTTACGTTTACAGTTTCTAAGATGCACAGCCCAGCACTGAGGAACTGACCTCTCTGTGGGCTGCATGCGGTACGAGAGCTGCTGGGGAGAGGCTTATATAAAGACTCAGAGGTTTGACAAAGTCCAGCGGAGTTTTCGCTCCAAAGTTGATGTGACTTTGTACCTCGGGAGTTAATGCGGACCAGAACCGAGGTAAGGATTGTAACATGGTCGGTGTGGCTCAGACGGCGTTTACATAACTTATTAGCCATGTGGCAGATCACAAATGTTCTGTGCCTCACTTTTCTCGTGTAAAATGGAGACAATAGTAGTACCTACTTTTATAGGGCTGTTATGAGCATTACGTGAATTAATATACATTAAAAGTGCTTATAACAGTGTCTGGCACTTGTGCACTAAACTGGTTAACAAATATTTATTAAATGTTATCTAATAATGACTGCAGTTACTATTACTGTTAGTAATTGAGAACTTAAGGCTTAAGTGGAAGGAAATATTTGATTCACAGCATGAGTGGACATATTAGAGAAATAGTTCTCCTAAGGAGTGCGGGGTATATACCTAACCTGACCGTCCTGTGGCCTGGGGAGATCAGGCCGAAGGACTGCCTGGCTTCTGAGTCTGTCTCCTCTGCTGCTCAGCTGACGGGGGACACGTGGCTTTCAGAGGCTTAGTTCCATCCCTCGTAGGACTCAGATTCTCGTGTCTGCCTGCCTGCTCTGCCTTGGGTTGCTGGGAACTTCAAGTGAGACTGTGTGTGGGGAAACACTTAAAAGCCATAAAATGCAAAGTAATCTCATTTTAAACCACATCTCATGGTGTTTGATCGGCCCGGCCAAGTAACAGGGGGCAAGTGACTGAAAACTCTCAGTGCCTTCCACATTCTACAGCAGACCTGGCCTCCTAGCGGCTCATCGGGCCCAGACCCCAGCCCCCCAGAAAGGGCCTTGCCTCCAGCTCTCTGCTCTTCCCTGACAGGGCACCAAGTGGGGCGCCCCCCTCCGCTCCTGGGCGCCCCCAGGCCCTGCCTCAGCGGCCTGTGCGCCCTGTTCTCCTCCCTGTTGTTCTGGGTCTGGCCCAGCCTTGCCCCCAGCCCGTGAAGGGAGGAGACAGTGACCCTGCATTCTGGCCAAGCCCACACTTCCTTGGCTCCCTCTGACTCCTCCCGGAAGGCTGGCCCAGGGCTCCTGACAGGACCCCGGAGTGTGGGTGGGACGCGGAGGGCCTGCCAGCTCAGGAAAGCTGGTGCCGCCTCGGGGAGGCCCAAGTCCTTGTCAGCAGCCCGACAGAATTGCCCGCGTCATCACATTCCTGCTCGGGCCTCTGAGGGCAAAACATTCACGATGCTTCAGGAGAAAAAGGTGACGAAGGGAGGCAGGCAAGCGACTGCACAGCAGAGGAGGCCTCCTGGGTCACAGGGCGGCAGGCACAGCAGGAAGCCGCCGCAAGCAGCAGCTCCAGACAGTGGCCCAGATGACTCCTAAAATGAGCTGGTTGTTGGTGTGGCCTTCTGCGGAGCGTAATTACCACCGTGGCCAGGAAATGGCCCTTTTCCTCCCTAGGCCTCATCCCCTGCCTTCCGACCGAACCTCATCAGGCTTCAGTGTGGTTGGGGGTCTGCTCAGTGGTGGCCTCTGGCCCTTTGTCCACATGGCTGCCTAGCTCGTGGGCTCCTGCTCTGTGAGGACAAGGCCTCGCCTTCAGTCCCTGGGTAACCTGGACTTCTGCCCAGACTCGTGCCTAGAAACTGAATTTCTGATTCCCAGCTAGGGGCCCTGAAAAGCCATGTCAGTGGTCAAGAGAGGAAGCAGGTAGGGACGGATCAAGGACAGGGTGCCCCACTGCTGGGAAACACTCCCAGCACAGCTGGGCCTGATGGTGGGGCTGTGCAGGACCAGGGTTCTCAACGTCAGCAGAGCACCCTCTTTCTGAGGTGTCCCTGGGGATGCGCAGGGGAGGGAACTGAGGGCTCACATTTCAGGAGTGGCGTGTTCAGGAGCCCGCATCCTCACGCCTTCCTTCAGGCGGCTGCAGAAGTCCTCGTCCATCTGCACTCCGGGGTACGGCGACCCACCTGCACGGCACACCGAGGGAAGCACAGGGTGGGTTATGGCTTCAGGGGACAAAAGACCACAAGGGGCAATTCGGTGTCTGTTTCCTCCCTTTAGCGGCACAACGCATCTCAAGGCACAGTGCGACCCTCCCAGAGGCTCGGCAAATCCCTGCTGGTGACACGCCCTTGGTAGGTTGGCCCTGTGCTGCCGGGTGGGTGTCTGCTGCCCCCAGGCCGTGCCTATGGCTGCTCTGCTCTGCGTGGTCAGGGAAGGGGTGTCATCGAAGCATCCTTGTCCTCTCCCCACGAGGAACTCTAAAGCAAGCCCATCATTAAAGACTCATGCTTTGGGTTAATGAGCTTCTTTTAAAAAGAATCAATGGACTTCGGGAATAGGTTACTTGTAAAGCATCCACACCTCAGTGAGAGTGAGTCATTCCTACTTTTAGGAAATGTCCCACATCGGTGGGGGACAAGTTCCTGGAACGGGCCTGAGGGAAAGAGGGGCCCTGAGCTCCAGAACTAAGCTGACTGGTGTGGATGGGGGCGGCCCATGGGCAGGACGCTGCAGACCACAGGGTACCAGAGGAGCCTAGACTCTGCTTTTTGCCAACTTTACTGCCCAGGATGCCCATGTCACCTGTCCTTTTAGGGGGATGCTTGGCTGGGAGGTAGGGGTGAGCAAGGTCTCCCAGCCTGCTCTGCCCCAGACCTAGAACCTAGTCTATCTCGGTGTCGCACTTTCTAGTTGTCTGCGCTTTCTAGTGATTGCTGCTGCTAGGAAGCAGCTGGGGAGCACGCAGTGCTGGCACTGTGTCACTGTGGGGACACTGTGGCCGCCAAGCTGCTTTCAAAGACTGGAAGCAACAGGTGCCTGCCATTGAAAGCAGGGGAATGATTTTCACACATTACAGGAAACCAGGGATGTTACTGAGTGACTTTTATTTGCTCTGAAAGGCAAATTTTTGGCAAAGTCTGAAAGACTCTTGGCTAGACCCCACTTTCAGAAGGCTCAGAGCATCCACGTGTGACTGCAAGCAGATGTGTGCTCTGTGTGCATCTGTGCACCTGGGCCCTTGAGCAAGGCTGCTAGCCACCCACAGGGGATGTTGCTGGAAGCACGATAAATGTAACTAGTGTTCCTTCTGCTCACCCTGCACAAACCAGTGTCCAGGGCTGGCTGTGCATCAGAGGCGCTAGAAAGGCCTCCTGTTCCTAACTGGTGGGGCCGTGCTTGCTGGGGCCTCTCCTGAGAAATTCTCGGGGGGAAGGATGCAGCAAAGGAAGGAGGGAAGGGCATTAGGAATTGGGGTGTATGAGGAATCAGAAGGGGGCAAAGGACAGAAAGGACTAGTAGTGGGACTGGCTGGAGATCAACCTAACGTCAGATTTTCCACTAGTGTGATGTTGTTCATTTCATACAAAGCATCCTTACAGTGCGGGACACAGTTTCTCACGTGAGATGCTGCATGGACCCACGCCTCTGCACGGGTTTTCAGCTCTCTTGGCTCCAGAGCTAGGCTGACTGGTGTGGATGGGGGCAGCCCGTGAGCAGGGAGAGACAGAGAAGGGATGGGGCAGGCCAAAACTGAGAGAGACACAGAGGCTGTGTCTCTCCAAACGACACTCAGTGGAGGATGCAGACCGGTGACTCTGGGCCATCTGATCTTTTTTCCCCCACAGATTTACCTAAGGAGAAGATTTCCCACAGCAGGACTCCGTAAGACCACACATCGCTCTGGGTGCTGTAGATCTTGTCAAAGATAGATTCAGGAGCCATCCATTTCAGAGGAAGTCGAGTCTAGAAAAGGGCAAAGGGGGCCTTGAGCAGAAGGACATGGAAAACAAAGCACATCCAATGCAAGAGCCCATGGGGTCACTTCCCAGATAACACTTGGCCCGTAAATCATCTCCTCAAGCAGCTCTGGTCTTCTAACGTGCAGGGTGACACTAAGAGCGCCGTGTGCGACAGCAGCCAAAGTTTAGGAAGTCCCTCCTATGTGCCCAGCAGGTCCCAACTCTGTCACTCTAAGAAATTCTTCTCCCAGAAAAAGCCTACACTCCATAGTGACCAGGGAGAGCGATCTGGATTAGACGACATCCTGAAAATGATCATTTCCAGGAACTTTCTTTAGGGAGGAGGATTTTGAAAGGCACCCCTGTGAAAATAGGTAGGATTTGAAGTCATGAAAGGGGGCCCGGCAAAGGCATGGGGAAGAGGGAGGTGCCAGTGTTTAGGAGGCCACATGGCTGGCTTCCCAGTGTACAGACACATCTTCTCTCTCTGCTAGACAGCAGGAATCCCAGCGACTTAGGCCATGCCCCTTCAGATGGGTGGGAATTGGCAGGGCGCCCAGGCTAAGGGAGACACAGAGAAGGGATGGGGCAGGCCAAAGCTGAGAGACATCGACGGACAGAAAGGGACGTGTGGGTGGGTGCCATTTGGCAAAGAAGGGTTCCCTGGAAAGTTCTGTTGTTTTCATTTTATAAAAGAGACTGTGGAGGTGTAATTCTCAAACTGTCTAAATATCCTGGAACCAGCTGTGTCAGCAGCACCTAGAAACTTACTGGAAAGACACGTTCTCAGCCCCGCACCCCCAACACCGTTCCCCCCAACCACACGCTGAATGGGACTCTCTGGGGGGTGAGGCCCAGTAAACTGCAGTTTAATAAGCCCTCTAAGTGACTTGTCTGCCAGCGACAGTGTGAAAACCTCTACTGCGGAGGGATCTGCAAAGCCCAGACGCAGGCGTAAGCCCTCGGGTACAGGCTGGAGCAGACAGGACGCAGGAGGTCGCCCACAAAAGTGGAAAATAACACGCTGTCCGCAACAAGCAGGGAAGAGAAGCCTGTGTGAGCCAGCAGGCAGATGGGAGGCGAGGCAGGCAGACACCGGAGGTGACTGGTTTCCTGCCCACCGAGATAACGCGGCTGCCCGGCCCGCCCTTTCCTGAGCTATTACACCTGCTGCATCAATTGTCCGGGTTTACTCGAGGGAAAGAGTCCAGGCTGTTCTTTCCAGGGGTACAGGGAACTCCCACAGGAGTTAAGGGGAGGTGAGGATAGGGTCTCACAGGTGCCCACTAGACACCTGTCAGGTTAGCCCCCTCCGACGCTGCTGCCCGAGGGACAGATGGCACACCGCAGCAGCAGGGGCACGGAGCCAGGACATATGGCCTTGCTGAGCCCCATCGAAGGCTCTCCGGGACCCAGCCCCTCTGGGCTGCTGGTCTTCACAGAAAGCACGTGATGGTTTGCAGGAACCACTGCCGAGGAAGTGTAAATATTTACCAAGGCCTTCGACCTGTGGTTTAAAAACCATGGGGTATAAATGAGTCAAATAAACGTTAAACTGACTTACGTCTCCTTTTCTCACATAATCGGGGTTCTTATAAATATCCCGCGCAAGGCCAAAGTCGCAAATCTTCACCACATTGTTCTCAGATAAAAGAATATTTCGCGCTGCCAGGTCCCGATGAATGCACTGTAATAAAACAGTTGCATGATCAATGCGTTTCCTTAACCTAAGCAACTGAACCCCAGCGCCTTCTCAGCGTCATTCCTCTTCTTAGAGGGTCCGTTTCAAATGCTTCCTTGGCCTGACAGAGGCAACTCCGAACACCTGTGGAGTTCCATACGCACGAAGCACTTTTTTACCACCGCAGGCTCCCTGAGGCCCAACGGTAAAAATCACCCTGAGTCCTTTCTGCTACCGTTTCGCAGGCCAGCATCACGGTAAACAAAGATCCGCTAGTATCTCTTCCCCACGACCCTCCACCCTAAGCTGCTGGGATGGGTCGCAAACCAGCTGCCATTTCGTGGGAGGCCGCCTCATGGATGTATTCACAGAAGCTCTCCTGCAAAGCTGTGTATTCTGAGGCTCTGGCCAGTTTTGAAAATATGCCAGAGGGCAATGTGGAGAACGGCTGCCAGATTTGTCTAGTCTGAAAGCCGGTGAGGTTTTCCCCTAGAATTAAGTTCTACCCATTGGTACGAAGACTCGTCATTCTCAAAATTCCTCACTCAGATCAGGACAAATTGAGAGGCCTTTGTTGCCATGTTTATTCTACATTTAAGAACAGACATATAAGCAAATACTTGGAAAAGCAGATTTATAGCAAAGGTGTATGTCTGTCCGTACGCATGTCTGCACATCCGGGCCTGGCAAAGAGGAAAAACAGCAAAAAGCAAGGCTGACCTTTCTGGAAGACAAAAACTCCATGCCTCTGGCCACTTGAAAACTGTAAGAAATAAGATCTTCCATGGTGATGGGTTGCTTGTAGAAATCGTCAGAATCTGGAAAACATTAAACCAGTAACTGTTTGTGACGGCTCTTGTTATTGCACCAAATCCCAGTTTATTGGAACAATGTTAGCAAAACATAAAACTAACCAACAAGTAGATCAGAGTTCATTTTCAAGAGCATTTGAGTTTCAACATGAGTATCAGAGATTTTTCCAGGCCTCCAGCCCATTTCACCCAAGCGTGGGGGGAGGGGATGATCTGCTAAGACAAAAAGGCCTGAGGGGACACAATTGTACGGTTCCCTGGCAAAATTAGTAACTCTGTAAATAATCTTAATTCAAATCTTATCTCCTCAGGACATTACCCTTCAAGGCTCCCACGGATGTTTATTAGGGTGATAAATAAGAAAAAAATTTCAGAGATGCACAATATGTTGTAAAAATATCTCAGACTGTAGGGCAGGAAGGAATTAATACCTACCCTCCTCTTCCTCCACATCACTCAGACTTTTATCTTCCTGAAACCCGGAGCTTGCGAAGCTCTCACTGCTGGTGACACTATCTACTCTTTGTTTCTTGCCTTGTTCCAGGTCTGGCTCCAGTTTTTCTTTCTTAGGCTCCGTGTGTAAAGCTGCGTCCTTTGAACAGACCAAGAAGCACACAGATGAAACGTTGCTCTGGAAAGGGCAATGGGGAAAACAGGGCCCTTAAGCTGGGAGAACGTCTTTCCACAAAATGGGTCGTGAATGAGCAGCAAGGCCCTATGGTGACCAGACACCTGGCCACCCCCAGGGGCTGTGGAGTCTCGACTGGGCTTCCAGATAGCACCTTACTTAGGTCAGATCAAGAAATAGTAACAGTAGCTGGTATTTACTGAGAACTTGCTCTGTGTGAGCCAGTATATGAAGGCTTTTCGGTACACTAAGTCATTTAATCTTTCCATTCCATTTTATGAAGGTCTTGCTCAAACATGAAGACACGGGTTTAGAGAAGTCGGGTAATACAAGTCACCTGCAGCCAGTAAATGGTGAACCTTGGTCTACATTTGGCCAACTCCAATCGGTGCCCTTAACCACCTGCCTACACCACACACCACCTTGTGAAAGACGATAGGAAGGACGGAAAAGGATCTCCAGTGAACTTGGGCCTTCATTGTGCAGTCCCTATGAGGGGTAGTGACAGAAGGCTGGAGTCATCCAGTTCTCCAGATTCCCTGGGAAGGGGGGAATGAACGTTCCTTTTCCTCCCCTCCATTCAAAACAAAGCTACAGTTTGATCCTAACAAGGGTAGAAAAGGCCTTAGATCCCTTAATCTGGGTATCTAAGCCCTAGTGCGAAAACTGACTTTGCCATTAACCATGGGGTCTTGCACAAATCACTCTACTTTCCTGGGTTTTGTTTCCCTTAACTGGAAACCTCTATCATCCTCTTATGTTCGACTCACAGGAAAGGAGTCGTTGGTTGTGGGTGTTCATGTGGAACCAGAAAAGATTCCTATCACCTTTAGTAATTTATCTAATTACTTAGCACTCCCAAGGCTTCATGACTGGGCCGTGCCCCTAGGCTCCGATCTGCTGGACGGCATCACTGAAACGGGCCGGTTCCGCTGGGCCCCGTGTGGCGGCACTGCCCCTAACCAGGCTCACCTTCCTTCCTGGGCTTGTCCTAGAAATGTCAGAGTCGGAGTGATCCGCCCACTAGAGGGCAGAGTGGGAGCAGGCAGCGGACAGAGGCGGGAGCCCCGGAGGGGGAGGCAGGCCTCAGAGGCCGCCCCCCTGCCGCCCCAGGGGACCTCGCTGAGCACAGGTGACGCAGGTAGCTCTTTATCACTGTGTCTCCCTGACACAGATTGGATTCTGCTCAGACTGTAATTTTTTTCCCAAGACCCTTCCCAGGACAGAAGGCAGCAGGGGAAGAAGAGTGCGGGCAAGGCTGTGGAAGAGCCAAATATTTCTAAAAAATATTTAAAGCCTTTTCCCCCACCCCTGCATCCCCCAAGTCACAGCCTGGGACATGTGTCTGAGGACCATAACTTCCCGACTCCTCATCAATGGGATATTCAGCGTTGCTTATTGGGAACCATCGCTGTGAAAGGAAGATTGATGTACAGAACTTTAGGGACTGACAAAATACAGTGAATTTACTACCAAAACTATTTTAAGATCCTGGCAAATTCATTGGGAAAATGAAATAGGCCATTTCCATTTAGCCTTTGGGCTTTTCCTTCACCTTCTCTTTTTATTCTTTTAGGCCCCATATATGAATACAGTCATGTGTTTTCCATGAAAACGCGAAGCTTCACCAACAGGGAGGTGAATCATTAAATATAGCCAGAGAAGGAAGCAAACTCTTCAAAACAAAGGACGCATGAACCCAAACGTTCCATCCTGCCCAGATCCCTAGGGTACCCAGCGGGCTGACTTCTTCCTGAGGCCAGACCAGCGTTTCAGGACTGAAGGGGATTTGCACTGCTCTGAGCCCAGGGCACCACTTTTCACTTTTTCTGTGTTCTTCTCCCCTCCTTATCCAGTGTCATGCACAGAAAAAGCACTGGAACGGGAGTCAGTGGAGCCGGGTCCTTTCCCCCAACTTCACCTCTTGGTAGGTGTGTATCCTTAAGCCAATCACTTGAGTTTTCTGAGCACATCTAGAATGTACGAGTGTGAACTAGGTGATCACAAAGATCCCTTTAAGCTTCAAGATTCTGATTATTAGAGGGCATGGTTTAAAAATTGGAGAAACGTGTTCTTGCATATATGTTGCTGGTTAGAACACTTGTGTTTTTGGTTGGATCGAAGTTTGAGAGGTGAGAGAATGGGCCACTTGTCCAGTGGTTCTTATTTTTGTGCTACGTGAGGACTCTTGCTCACACGATAGAGATGGGCATTGTTTTCAGATATTGAACCCTTTATTCATTATACAGATAATATAGGTCAGAGGCATTAAGTTGGACTCCCCCAGTGTATCTCATTCGCAGTCCACACCATGTGCCCATTCCGGACAGGAGACCTGCAGGGATGGAGAGCTTCCGGTTCCGGGTCAAAGTGGGAGTGACCCCGGAGCTGCGCCAGAGGGCTCTGGCCCTAGAGCATTCTGGGAATATGCAGATGGGGCGTGCGGAGTGCTTGTGCAGTGGGTCAATAATGATGATGGTGATAGTTAACATTTGAGTGATTAACTGAATCTGATTCTCTCACAATCTCAGGAGTTAGGTTCTATTATTACCTGATTTAATAAATGAGGGAACTGAAATTTAAAAGAGATTAAATAGCTTGCCCAAGGTCCCAGATTATAGCCAGAGAAGGTAGAGACAGGACTGAAATCGAGGAAGTCTGATTTTGAGTGCTTAATCACCACCCTACATGGATTCATGACCAAAATTGCTAGTTATCAGTTAATAATGTTGAGTCACTGTCCCCAGAATTTCTCTAGTTCAGGGAAGGACCCAGCATGGGTGAGATGGGTCACATGGGCAGTTATTAAACTCTTTCTCCTTCATTCAATAATTCAGAACCCGGACCCATGTGTTCCTTTTGTTACAGTTTTATTTAGTGGGCAAGTCTGGCTCAGTGTGTGTGGGGGGGTGACACAGTTGGTAAGTGGAAAAAAGGGCAGTACAAAGGGAAGAAAATGATTTATTTGGTTCCATCACTGGCCTATTGTTGACTGCAAAGTTAGTTGATAAAGTCCTTGATTTCTCTAATCTAAGAAATGGAGACAATTATATTTGCTATCTTTAAAGAAACAAGTGACTAAGGGATTTGTGTGTGTGTGTGTGTGTGTGTGTGTGTGTGTGTGTACATATGGAGAAAGAGAGAAAGGTAAGTAAAATTATCAAGATGATTTGCTAGGTATGTAGGTAGATGGCCAGAAATGCTAACCTCTAATTATCACTGCATACACTGGGATCAAATATTCTCTGTGCTGTCCACAAAAGACTGTTACATATTAGAATGGAAGAAAAAATGACAAAGGAGTGAAAAGCAGAAATTTAGTTTTAAGCTTAACCACTAATGGAAATACACAGGTTTCTTTTGTTTCATACTGCTAAAGCCTAAATGGAAACTCACTGCCATCTTTAAAAACCTCCAACCTCTAAGTTCCTTACCTTGTTGAGAAAGAATAGGTCTCGCTTGCTCTTGAGGTAGTTGGACAGATTTCCGTATTTGCAATATTCAACGATCACCATCAGAGGCCCTGCAGCCAAAACAGCACATGCTCAGCCACACCAAGCCAGTTAGCCATCTGTCAGCCTTTGGTGAGCCTGAGAAACCTCAAACCCAAGTCTTTGTATCGGTGGGGCCGAGGGATGCAACTTAGGGGGGCAATTTTTAAAAAATGTATCTTTAGGCGGGTTTTAAAAATACGAAAGGAATAGAGGGCAATTGAGAGGGTGGGGGAAAAACAGAAAAAAGAAAAGAGTAGAAGGACAAAAAGAGAAAGAATATTGGGGAGGGGAGGGGTCAAAGCCAGAGCTCTACCTCTGAACTGCTAGCCACCCATCCACTTGTTAGCGAGACCCCAGAGACACTGTCCCATCCAGCTCCTCCTAGTGCTGAGAACCGCCGGTTCTGAAAGGCCTCTTCCTCCCCTGCTGCAGGACTATCTGGGGGTGTCTGCCCATAGTTTGCCTTGGGGGTTGTAAGAAGGTCTAAAGCAGGATCAGCAAACATTTCAGTAAAGAACCAGATAGTAAATATTTTAGGCTTTGTAGGCCAGAAGACTATGCAATTCTGCCTCTGTAGCATGAAAGCAGTCATAGACAATACAACCAAATGAGTGACTATGCTCCAAAAAAATCATATAACACATACATTTAAATTTCATATAATTTCCACATGTCATAAAAATGTAATTCTTTTGATTGCCCCTTCCCCTGTCAGCTATTTAAAACGGTCAACAAAGGAAGCAAGGGGTCAGGTGGAGGGAAGGATGGACACTGTGGATCCAGGGGGGTGCCCTGCAGGCAGCTTTTGCCTTAATTGGCACCTAGCAGTCCACATCACGGGCCCGTTTCGGACAGGAGACCTGCAGGGATGGAGAGCTTCCGGTTCCGGGTCAAAGTGCGAGTGACCCCGGAACTGCTCCAGAGGGCTCCGGCCCTAGAGCATTCTGGGAGCATGCAGGCCGGGTGTCCGGAGTGCTTGTGCAGAAGGTAGGCAGGGGCGCCCTCGTTTCCCAGGCTCGTAGAGGCCAGGCGCTTCCCTGTACAGAGGTGTTCTGCCTCCATCGGGACTCACTGGTTTTAAAGTGTATGTTAGAATTCTGACATCACTTCCTTTACCCTCAGGGGAGCAGAACAGGAAGTTGCTTTAAGAGGTTATACCTCTTTCCCACCGAAGGGGTTTCAGCGGGTCTGGGGTCCAGCAGCCCCTGCCCTCAGGAGGGGCTTCAGTCGTTAAAGCCAACTAACTACACGGAGCTGAGAGGCACGGACGGAGGTGGGTTCTGGGTTTAGCTCCAGTCAGCTTTATGCAAAGTTGAGGCAAACAGAATGATGTTGCCGAGACAGAGAACTTGAAAGCGCCCAGCTTATTACGGGCAGAGAGGCCAGGCTAATGCAGAAGCAGGTAGGTTGTGTCTAGGTCCCTAGGACTCTAGTTCTGGCTTCCCCAGCCCTTAGCTTCTTTCTCTCCCCGCTGCCACTCCTAGCAGAGAGATCTCCCCAACTACCCTTTATCTCTCTACCTTTGTTGTGCTTGGAAAACACGTATATTGCACAGTCCTTTGCACCTTTCATTCTGGTTTAGGCAGAGATCACGCATCTATACCCAAGTATCAGCCTTGCCGTAGGGGAAGAGAGAAAGCTATCCCAGAACACTCAGGAATCTCAGTCATAACCACAGCCCTGTCCGTGCCATTTGCCCCAGCGGGTGCAGCCCGTCTGAAGGGAAAGACCCGCCTGGTTGTCCTCCACGTCACCTCCTCCTGGGATTCAACCAGTACTGATTCACTGCTGTAGCTGAAGCTTCACAGGGGTGCTCAAACTTCCCTCCATTTACTTTGGGTCTGATCACACTCCTTCCAAGTCATCCTGAGAGAACACTGCCCTCCCCTTGACCTAGAGCTTGTGGAAAGAGATCTAAAAGGGAGTCCTTCTCTTCAGGTCTTTAAGTGTCCAGGGAAGGCTTTTCTAGGATGGGAGCACCCGTCTATAAGTGGCCAAGTGGTTTCTTCTGGACCCATTGAGAGGCTGTGTCCCAGGAGGCGAGGAGGAGCAGGGGAGGGGAGGGGAGGGGAGGGGAAGGGCCCCGGGAGGGGAGGGGAGGGGCCCTTCCCCCTCAGTTACCTCCATGCTTGGTACAGGCTCCCAGAAGGTTGACCACATTCAGATGGTGGCCGATGTGGGTCAGGATCTTGAGCTCAGTCATCAGAGCTTTGTACTCACTGGCTGTCGCCCCCTCTGTGTGGAAAGCAGGGACAAGTCAAGGCGGCAGGACGATGGGGCCCTTTCCTCCCATGGCGGCATTCCTGCCCTCCACCTCTGTCAGGGCTCAGCAGCCGCCTGCTTCATTTACTTCCCCGCGTTCTGCAGAAGGGCCAAGTCTGCAGACTGTTCTCCTTCCCCCCACCCTCCTGAGCCAACATCCTTTTGATTACAGGGAGGCCCAGAGCAGTGGTGGGGTTAGTCAGTCTCTGGGCCTTTCCTCTTGATGGACCCAGGCCTGTTCAGCAACGTGCTGACTCGGAGCCGAGCGCCTCAGGACGGCACCTCAGAGGCTTCCCTTGTCAGGAGCGGGCACAGCCAGAACGTCCCAGACAGGGAGGAGCCCACACCTCCCCTCTTTTTCTCACTTTCCCCTCTTTGAAGAGTTACAAAGAAGGAGTACAAGGGGCCTGCGAGGGCACAGTGGCCACTTCTGTAAACATCTTTGCGATGTGTTCTTTCCTCCCTATAACCTTTACCTCCCCAGAGCCCACAGGGTTATCTTGAGTTGTGAGGACCCCTAAGCATCTGCCTTTAACTTCATTCTCAGAGATAAACAACATCAGTCTAAGAATTAGCAGAAACTAAAGCTTAAATTAAGTTTGTTTGTTCTTACTGGTTAATTTCCAAGGCATTTTAACATATTAAAGTATTTTTAGAAATAAAAAAGTCATATAATCTTGCTATAAAATATTCCCAAAATATGATGTATATGTAGAGTAAAAAGTGGAAAGACATCCCAAGCCACTGACCTTCCTTATTAACCATTTGGAGTTTCAGATGTTTTTCTGTGTATTTGTAAATAGGTATACTTAATCAAAGTTTTCTTTGTTTATATAAATGGGATCATACATATATAAGTATATACATATTTTTAAAAATTTTGCTTTCCCCCCCTTTTTAATATGCCAGAGACTTTTTCCATTCTTTTAATTGATTAATGGCATTCTTGACACTGACACTGTCTGCAGGGTTTTTTTTGCCTTAACAAATAACACTGCAATATATAGCCCCTGTGTAATCTTTGTACACATATTCAAGTATTTTTGTAGGGTGGTTCAGGAAGCGGGTCAGAGGATGTGCACTTAACATTGTGGTGGATCCCAACATGCTATTTCATAAGCACAAATCATTTTTTAATAATAACCAGATAAACCCTAGAAGCCTCCCAGTGGAGTTGGGATTGGCTCACGGTAGATGCTCAACAAATGTTTGGTAGATAAATAAACAACATGATTACTGTTCTCATTTCAGACGCGGGCTTAAGGCCCAGGAAGGTTAAAGGTTTTGCTCAAGGGCGCTCTGAAAGAGCTTCTGACTCACGGACTTTGTTTGACATTTTGCCTTTTCGGTTTCTTCTAGAAACATATGGCCAGCCAATTTTAGCAAGAAAGCTGAATGGAAATGGTTTTTTAGGCATTTTATATAGTGGATGGTTTGGTAATCTTTTTTAGTCAAGGCTGATGGCTTAAAAAATAAAGATAAGCATTGATAAAAATATTGCACACACAGTTTTCCATAATAGATTCTTTGGGCCTTTAAAGAAATTTCAAGTCAGATTGTCCCCCCTCAAACTCATCAGTTTCTCCGTGTGCTTATGGCCCTTTGGCACATCAGAAAAATCCGGGCTCTTTTGCTTAGATTGTTCCATTTCTAGGTAGAGCCATAGGTATTATCTTGGATCCACAATAGACAAGCACGGACAGCAGGCCTGCCTCGCCTGCACACGGCCTGTGGCAGTCAGCAGGGGCACGGGACTAGCTGAGGAAGCAGGTGCTTCCAGATTTTATTTCAACTCGTCTGAAGGTTGGTTGCTAGATCGCATGCAAAGTGCAGGCCAGAATCATTTTCAGGATTTGGATTTCATTTCCAAGAGGCTGGGTCTCTGCAGCCCCTCTCCTGTAACACCGTGGTGCGGGGGGAAGACCACTGCACCCAGAGCTGGAAGACTTGTACTCAAACCCTTCCTTCTGCACCCATGAGCTGTGGGGCCTTGCGGGGCCATGTAACCCTTGTGGGCGATGTTTCCTTGTCTGCAAATGGGAAAAATAGTATCTACCTCACAAGACTGGAGAGAGGAAGACAAGTGGTGACTTCATGTGGCTCAGCCTAACACAGTGAAGTCCCTGTTTGGGTGCTTGCTTACAGAGAAGGTGTGTTGATGCCTCCTCTGTTCAGAATCCAGGTGGGTGGAATGTGGGTATTCTCACCGAAGTGCAGCCACCATGCACTAAAGTCCTGACTCGTGGATGTAAAAGGATCCAAAGCTTCTTTCCTGGCTACTTTTGAGCATAGAACTATCAGGTTGTTTGTAGATTTTATCAGAGCCTTCACCTGACAAGCTTTTAGGTGGGAAATAGCATTACATGGGGCTTTTGTAATGATGCTATCAGTGCTAGAAGAAAACGAATCGCTCTAAAATCTTCCTAAGCAAATGGCCCTTTTTTGGACTCTTTGCTCGGTCCCTGCTTAGCTGGCTGCAGTTTCCTGTGCCTCAAAACCCTCAGCAATATCTTAGAGAGTTTGGAAAGCTAAAAGCTGCCCTTTGGGTGTTCAGGCCTTGTTTCTTTCTAGTTTGGGAACCTTAAAATGGGCAGAAGTAACACAAAAATTCCACTGTGTATTAGGAAATGAGGTATGGTTTATACTTTAAAGGACACGTGAGGCTTTGAGATGTTTGGTTTGCACACTTTGCACTGATGGTCGTTTTCCATCTGTCTGAGGGCGGTGGTCGACAATTGTGGTGTGAACTGGGTCTGTCTCCAGTGCTCCACAGAGTGGGAGTATCTTTCAACACTAGAACATAATTTTTTTTTTTTAAATTTCTAAAGAGGAAATGTTTCAGGGTTGGGACCTGATAGTATAAAATAGTTTAGAGTTCTGATCACCTCAGTGAGTTCTAGCTTCATAGTTTCACTTCATAGTGAGGTCAAGCCTGCCTAAGCCTTTGGGATTTATGATGTACAGCTGATTTCCCATTATGTCATGGTAGGTCACTCCAAAATTTTGAGCATGTCATTACAGTGGGCTTATGTCCCTGGTAGTCCAGGGTCTGAGATGTGAAGGGAGAATGATCTTTGCGGATGGAATCGTTTTCTTGTGGACAGTGCTAAATTGTTTCATTTACAAGCTGTGTTCTGAGCTCTTGCTGGCCTAATCAAGAACTCCCTTAAAGTGAAAGGGCTTCCAGTAGTAGAAAAAAGTTATGTGGCTAGAGCAGAAATAGCTTGTGTCTGTTCCTAGACCGTGTCCAACTTGTACCAGTGTTTAGGGAATGTGGTGGGCCAGCTGAAAGCGAAAAGACAGGATCCGTACCTTTTAACATTTTTACAGCCACAGTCCGGCACGTGGGTGATTTTTTAATGCCAAATGCAGATGCTTGAACCACTTTTCCAAAAGCCCCTCTTCCAAGTGATTTGCCTGCAATGAAAAGAACACTTTGGTTTGTTGGCCACACCAACTGGGTGAATTTAAGGCTTTTTCAGGAAAGAAGTGCCTTTTTTCCTATGGGTGTATGTGAGGCATGTAGCTTTAAATGGAATCCCCAATAAAGTGACCCCAAAAGAACCCAAGTAAGGGACACATTCCTGGGGTGTCTTCCTTCCCCCTCTTTACTGTGATCCTAGGTGCCCTCATCCTTCACAGCCAGACGGGTGCAGGACCAGTTTTGTCTTCACAGATCCTACTGGACTGGAGAGGCTACCAAATCTTCTCTGGTCTCTTTCATTGTTTAATACTGTTATTACACAGGAAAGAAAATTTCCCTGTGGTTGACCTAAACTCCTTTTCTTGTCATTTCAGGCTATTTCTTTCGGATCTGTTGTCAGCAGAAAGGAAGAAACTGAGAATGGTGTTTACTGCTGTTGGTTATCATAATGCTTCAAAGCTAAAAAAAATAATCACTAAGCCATTTCTCAGATTTCCTTGCCAGGCAAAATATTCTCAGTATTTCCAACATGTCTTTACATGATGATTACAGATCTTCATGATTCAGCACATAAGCCTATCAACCACTGGTACTAATTGGTTTCAGCCACAGAGAAGTGGTTGCCAGATGCAATAACAAAGCTAGATTGCTTTCATGGTACCTGCTATGTTACGCTGTAATGGCTGTGAGCATGCGTCTTTCCTCACCCTTGCTTGAGACAGAGGGGCAACGGCCATGTCAGACTCTTCCCAGGACCTAGCCCAGGGCCTGCCACATAGAGGCATTTGGGAATTTGGGGGATGCTCTAAGCGAGTCTCACATGGTCATGGCTGACTAAAGGGGCCCGTGACATGGAGAGCTTAGGAGGGGTGCCCTGTGAAGGGGATGCCCCCAGAACACCTCAGCTGCCTTTGATATCAAGGACTTCCTGTTGCACCATCGGGAAACAGGTAGCTAAACAGAACCTAGAGAAACACGGCACGTCAAATGCGGTACGGTAAAAGGAAGAATGAGCCAAAGAAAGCACTCTTATGTTTCTTCAGGTGGCGGGGGGGAAACGGACAACCAAAAGCCTCAGGTCAAAAGTGGGTCCTGGTGATTAGAGTGTTAATGTCACACAGCGCCTCCTCTCCCAAGTCCTTTTCCTCGGACTGTTCTGAGAATGTGCTTCAGTTAGTTATTAACCTTCCTTCCTTCCTTCCGTCTTCATACTCCAGTCCCTTCCCCCAAAGGACATGGTTTTTTGTTGTTTTTTTAAAGATACTTGTAAAGTTTGTCATGAAGATTTCCTGCTTCCTCATCCTTAGAGCTTTTATCCTTTTATGCATGACTCCTCCTTAGCAAAGACGTTTTTACCCTGCCGCTGCTTAGTATCACCCACCCACTGCCACCCACCCGAGGTATCCAGCTGGGACATGGGAAAGCTCAGCTACCCCTGTAATCACAGAGCCTCTCTGTAGCTCTCCCTGTGCTTCCACTGAACAGGGATGCACTGCATTAGCAGGGGACAAGGGTCAAATGGCATGCCTTTCCCCAGGTCAAAGGTGCACCTATGCTATAGTGACTGATAGAGACGATTCCACAGAGTGTGCACTATAGGCACAGGTAACGTCTGCTTCCTTCTTCAGATAAAATTGTCCAAGAAAGAGACCAGCATGAATAGGGACTCATGGTCTCAATCAGAGTGCCTCCAGTAGACCCTGACGGTGCTGGGCATGGAAACCCTGTGTGGCAAGACCACTTACAGACACGTTCTCCAGACTCCTCTAACAATGGGTGCATTTGGGTCGGAAGCTTATTCCTTGCTTTTTTAAGGCAAAAGAATGCTTTTCTTCTGTAGGGCCTTCTACCACTAGTTTAAAACATGTTCTGAGCCTGACAAATAAAGACAATCTCTATCTTGGGCCACCGGTCCAGTCCACATGCTCCGAAGAGGTGTGCTCATGGGGGGCAGGCAGAATCCTTTCCTACCCATGGCTTCAAACCCCAGGCATCCCTTCTCAGCCATGACACTTTATTTTAACAAGTGTTTGGGGACTTCATTCCCTGAAGCTCCTCCTCACTTGGCCCCCACCCCCCCACCCCGCAGTCCTTTCACATGCTCCCTGGGAAGCTGAGCTCTGCGTCATAAAACAGCATGAAGCCATTACGGGCTCTTCAGTCTCCTGAAGCTTTGGAATCCTTCAGCAGACCCACAGTTGGAGTTTCAGGGGAGCCCAGTCACACTGGACTTGACCTTGCCTGATCCCTCTTTTCCCTTAAAATCCTCCTTGGGGTTACCCACATGCCACTCACGAGCTTGGAAAAATGCTAGGTCACTGTCATACAACGAAATGATACTGGAATCTCCTCCAAAATCGTCCTCGGCTGGCCAGGGTCCCTGGGATGCCTGGGGGGAATGCACAGCAGCACAGGGCTGAGCCCTCTCTGGCACCCACGGTTGGACTCAAAGGAGGCAGCAGCAGCCCAGGCACCACCCCTTGCCGAATTCTGAGACTCCATTTGTTTCCCACGTTAGGTAATTCTGACTTTATTTTCAAATGGAAAGATGCAATGTCAGGCAGTATCCCAACTTCTGTGATAAATTTATAGGAGCTGAACTGTCCCCAGGTTTAGTGAGGAATTACTACCAGGTTTTGTTTAGTTCCTGGATTTTAGGAATTTCAGTAGTAGTGACACCTTTGACCCCAGGTCCAACTGTACCTATCAGGCCCATAAATTCTGACTTCTCTCACCAGGGCTGCAAATAGTAACCAATAGAGGACATACAGCTGAATTCACTTGCGACTTGGTCTGCACATTCTCTGCATTTATAGCCCCATTGTAACCCTGCCCATCAAAGCAGCTTTTTCTCTCCATCCAGACATCATCTTGGTTACTTTCATGTGCTAGACATTACTTCAGCTTGCTTTCTGTCATTTACTTGGCATAAAAAACAAATCTTGGGCCTCTTATTCCTACGTTAGTAAGAGGAGCATTTGTCTGGCCCCTGCAGCCACAGTGTGCGTGGAAACACACAGTTAGCTGACTTGACACACTTTCTCTTACCGTCAAAGACACTCACATGAACTTCAGCCAGATCGGCATCTGGCAACTCCAGGAAGGAAAAGAACATACCAAGATCTTCAACAAGAAGAGTATCCTGTGGGTTATCTAAACCATAGCTCCCCAGGGGAATTCTAGTGGAGGAATGAGCAATGTCCCTGGTAGGACATGGATCACAGTGATGGTAGGCTTAGGCATGAAGAGATGGGACAGAAGCTCACATGTCCTGTGCTGGAGAAAGGATGTTTGATTGTGACTGATTACTCTGAAAAGCAGTGTGGCCTGAGAACGGCTCATGGTTGTGGGAAAATTATCCCATGTTCCCTGACAAGGTCACTGAAGGGCTGGGCTAGCTGCCATATAATTTAGACTTGCAGAAGGAACTCGTCTCATGTGCCACCTGCCCTTAACTACTCTAAATTTAGTTGTTTTCTTTTTTCTTTTCCTTTTTTTTTTTTTTCTGCTGTCAGCCATTGCAGACTTTTGCCTGTCTCCAGCTTTTTTACTGATTTCCAATTTTCTTTCCCAAGCCAAACAGAACATACTCTTGGGGCCAAGTATTCTTTCTCATGTAGGAAGAGATGCAAGTGGAATCATTTCAAGGCCTAAGAGAACAAGAAGAGAAGCCATTTCTCCCTCTCTGTCTCCTCACCCCTCTGCGTGGGCAGGAGAAGGGGAGGCCATGCAGCTGAATTTGGAACAGCACGCTCTTGACACTGAGAGTGAGAAGATCCAGGAACACTGGATCTATGATCTCTTTTCCTGGTTCCAACTGCTAATGATTCTGGCAAGCACAGGAGTGCGTGGAAAACTTTCAGAAGCCACAATCCAAATATTCTGGGCCAGAGTAATTGAGTCTTCTGTTGTTTTGTAGCACCAGGACTGGAGATTAGTTTGCATTGTGATGTCTGAGCTGGAGGAACTTGGGGGTAAGCCGGGAGAAAGTGTGCTTGCCTGGTGTTTACAGCTTCTGAGTTTCCTGGAAAACAACAGCCTTTGCTCTTCAAAAACAAAACTGAAATGACCCTCTAGGACTTTCTATTCTGTCTGGACATTTCGAACACTCAGGGAAATTCAGAGTGTGTAGGCAGTGGGTTTGTGCAGAAGGGTTTTTTGATCCATAGCCTTGAAGAGTATCTGTTCTTTCGCCAAATGTTTGGCTTTTATTGCTCCTTGCCATCCTGAATTAGACTTTAGGTCACAAATTTCTGATTCCTCAAAAATTTCATTATTTTAGAGTGCCTATACTTGTAAGTTTCCTGGCAGAGATCATCTCCCTACTTCCCCTTCACTTATGTGCTTCTGTGACTATCTCCCCCACCGTTTGAGGGAAGAGCCTCAAACCTTCATATCCCCAGGGCTTAGAGGGGTGTCCGCTGCTCAGAGAAGGTGCCTGATAATTGTTGAAAGAAGCAACAGGTGCTCGCCGCCTTGCATTGCCTCTCAGCATTCTGTTAGAATAGTTACCTCTGTGCCCATCTCCCGTGCTAGTTTGTGACCAGCCAGAGGGTAGGATCCCTAGCTCACCTCTACATCCCTCAAAGCACAGTGTTTTGCATGTAGTAGATGCTCAGCATGGGTTTAGGAATTTGTTGAACAAATACATTACCCAGTTTAAGTCTCTCCCGGGCAAACTCCCACTTGCTGGCATCGTAAGGGAGCCGCTCACATTGCTCATCCAGGGGAACCTCATCGGGGTCCATTATGATTGACAGGTAGTCAGTCTTTATTTCAGAAGAAGACTAAGAAATAAAGAGATCGCAAAGTCACCAACAATGATACTTAAAAAAAAATAACAAAAAACACCCGATATGCAGTTTAAGACAATACTTGGCAACATCTGCTATTTTGGTTGAGATCGTGTGAGTATAAAATACCCCTCTGCGTATCAATAAGCACCTCGTACCGGAGCGTACAATTTCCATGCAGCAACCTCTTACTGTTCGTTCCCACACTGCACTCCTGCAGTACCAGCTCCGCTGTCCTAGCTCTGGTAAGATGTGCTCAGATTGTCCAGTGACCCTATTGCTTGTTCTTAAACAGTTATCCAATGACGGTCCTTCTCTAAAAGATGCAAAGCAGTTTTGTAAAATCCTTCCAAACAGTGGCTGTAAATACCTTTCTGTGGCCATTCTGTACAAGCAGGAACATATATCACAGACGGGCTGACAGCGGGGTCCATGATTGTGGCTTTTCTACATTTGTAAGAAAGGCTGGAGGTGGCAAAAGTGGGGCCAGGATTCCCTGGGACAGTGGAGAGGCACACTTCATGTGAAGCGTTTAAATATACTCAGCCGTTCTGGCCTCTTAGCTGCTGCAGCTACCTGAACGGACTATGGGGTCCATTAGTGAGATTAGAATGCGATTCACCTTCAGTAAGAAATTGGAATTGATTATTTCAAAGGCCAAGGAATAAATAAACAGGTCTAAGACCTCCAGCACATTCTTGGCTGTTTGGTCATTGATAGGAGATCAGGCATCTACCTTGAAGTGCTCGCTATATTTTGGTAATGCACCTCAAGCCCAGAAAATACCCTTTATTTCAGATCAGAGATAACTGGATTTACATTTAGTGTCGTAGAGTCGTGTCAGTGGATCTATTTCATGTTACTTAAATGTAGAATTGATGATTGCATTTCTGCGGACAAGACTCGAAAAAAATATGCTTGCCCACGTAAGGGGGTTTTTGATAACTCTAGCCTAGAAGTTATGTAAACTTCACTTAAATGAGTTTTGGGGCCTTTCCTTTCATTGCCTTTCCCTAAACAGGATCAGAGTTCACTAGGGAAGACAACCTCTCCACTCACACCATTTCACACCCACCCACATTCTTCAGCCCTGACTCACTCTGTTCTGGGCAGTCACAGCTCACCTCATCCATCACTTGCAATCGGTCTCCTTTTCACAAAAATTATCACTAAAACCTGTGACAAATAGCTCAAAGCAGATTCGCCTGGCCTCCACAAAGAATGGAAAGCAGAAAGATACGGAGCACGTTTGTCACGAACTGCATTTACGGCTGGTGTTAGACTAAGGGCCCAGCCTGTCCCCAGTCAGACACTCGGGGGAGTCTCTAAGACTAGAGAGGCATATCAATTCTCACGCTGGGTACTTGAGTGTTCAGTAGAGAAGCTGTTGGAATAGGTTTTGTGACTAATCTTTTCGATGTCCAGTATGGTCAAGGCCATGAGAAGCAATCTCCAATCCTCAAAGAGCATAGATAGCTGCCCATGGGCAAGGGGCATCTGGGGTTCTCTGCAGAATGCATGGGGAGGTTGGCAGAGGTGTTGATAGAGGCAGGAGGGCAGGCAATGAAAATCTCCCCATGTGACACCTAAGGAATTTTATGGTTTATCTCAATAAGGCAGATGAGAGGAAACACTAAATAAATGTTAAGTAAGGGCTCTGAGGAGAGTGTGATAGTAGAATCTTAGTTGACAAATATTTATTCTTTCAATTGACATTAACACTGAGCAGCTACTAGGTGCTTGGCGTGGAAGTTGCACAGCTAAGCACTCCAGAGCCCAGGCATTGAGGCTGATTGCCTGGCTCTGAATCACAGTTCAGCTTCTGACCAGCACATAACTTTGGCAAGTTGCTTAACCTTTCTAAGCCTAATTTCCTTATCTGTGAAAGAGTGATAACAATGGTGCTTATCTCACAGGGTTGTTGTGAATATTAAATGAAATAATCCATGTAATGCTGTTAGAATGGGGCAGCTTGGTATATAGGAAGGAAGCATCAATAAATATTAGCTGAAATGGTAACACTGGCCTAGGCGGGGTGGGGATAAAAATACGAAATACAGTTTTTACCAGTGAGGGGTTTACATGGAAACCACATAGAAATATTTTTTGATACCATGTTCCTCTTTGCCTTCCACCACCAATCACTGTTTAAGTTTTATAGGCATTCTATCATTGAGAAAAGAATCTCTTGCTCTCATCTTTTCTCATTTCATGGATTTTTAGAAATACAAGGGACCTCTTCAATTTAGTGCTGTTTACATTTCCCGTTTCATTTCCACTAGGCTTGATATGCAAACTAACTCCCATATCTGGGGAGTGGGAAGGAGTAAGGTGGGCTTTGTTTTTCTGCTGCTTTTCTTCCCTCCACAACCTTCAAAGTCTGTCTGTGAACTTTGCTTGCTTTCCCTGAAGTGTTTTCTCCCTTCTCCTCCTTTGAACTCCTATAGCCCCTGCATCTCCCTTACAGATTTGGCAAGTTTTCCTTTTGTTAGGTCTCTTTCCCTATGCAATGTGTCTCCCCTTTCAAAATGCCACCATTTGACCTTTGTTCCTTCCAAAGCAGTGGCCTTCATTGCCCTGGCTCAAAAGCAGTCACACTCTATAGCAAAAGCTTGCTGTCACATGTTCTTTGGTGAGGATGGCTGTTAGCCTCGCCTCTCACAACAACACTATAAAGCACACCTTTCTGGTTTTGAGTATTAAAATGAAGTCTGTGGTTGAACAACCTGGGTTCAAAACTCAGCTCCAACTTTAACCACCTGTGTGACTTTTGGACAAGTTACTTTACCTCTCTGAGCTCAGTTTCCCTCTCTACAAAATGGTATCTAATACATTTGCATTTTTTGCATTTTTGCATTTTTGCATTACCTTTGCATTTTTGCAAGGGTTAACTGAGATACTACATACAGAGCTTCCCATAAGACCTGGCCATTAATAAGGGCTAACACATCTCTATAAATTGAGAATGGCTTCTTGACACTTCTGAAGTCCTGTTGGTTTTACCTCCTAAGTATCTTTTAACTCTTAATCATTTAGACTAAGCTACCATTGTTTCTGGAAAGTCTTCTAGTAGCTTCCTCCCTGTTCAGTCTTACCCCACTGGTCCATTCTCACAGCAGCCAAAAAAATCTTCCCAGATACAAATCTTTAACACTGACAATTAATTGCCTACCTTTGCTCACCAACTTCTGCCCCACCCCCAGGCTTCCTATTACCCCCAGAATACAGACTCAATGCTTTACCTCCGAGGCTCTGCCTGGCTGGGCTTTGCAGCTTCTCCTCTCCTTCCTCACCTCATACCTTGTGCCCACCACTGCAGCCATGCCGGCCTCTTGCCAGGCCCTCTTCTCGCGGTGTTCCCTCTACCCTGCACCAGCCGCATACATGCTCTTCTCCACTGGCAACACTGTCCTTCCCTTCTTTGCCTGACCACCCCCCCTACGTGTCTTTTAGTTAGCTACCTCTAATTTGTCTTCACAGCTGGTTAAAGCTGGTCTCCTCTCCAGACTGCACACTCTAGCACCTGCTCTTTACAGCGCCTGGCACTCTGCATTGAGCAGGCACACAATAAACATGAGAGGCATCAAGGAAGGAAGGAAGGAAGGATGGCTTTTTCTCTACCGAGTTTCAGAGAAACAAGTCCCGCTATAGGCCAAACTGTAGAAATCTGACGTCGTGAATTCCAACCTGCACCTCACACTCTGAAGGACTTAATCTTCCTGTGGGGCTCAGAGGGTATGAAACAGGAGGGCTTGTTTTGTCTGTGTTTCCATAACGTTTTGAGAGAGAAGTTACAGGCAAGTCTTTATTTTGCTTTTCCCTTTTTGTCTCTTAGCAGAGACTGAGGTTAAGAAAACGAAGGCTTCGTAGGTCTCAGGCTGAGTTTAAGTTAAAGACTTTATCACATACTTTTTTTTTTATAGGGGAGGGCGAGGGGAATGGGTGAAATAGGTGAAGAGAAAAAATAATGAGAAAATTTGGTGTCTTGATCAGGGTGACGGTTGCATGAGTGTATACTCACAATGCATCAAGCTGTATACACTCAGGTTTGTGCATTTCATTTTAGGTACTGTAAAAAAAGATTCCTTCTGTTTCTGGGAAATATTCATCTGTTTAGTGCTCTAGCTTTTCTGTTGAATACCCTACTTTATGGTTGAGAGACATTTAATGATTTATTTTCAGTGTTCACCAGGTCAGAGATTAGAAAGAGAGGGAAGGGGAAGTAGAGGGTCTAACATTTGTTTCATGCCTGCTGTAGACATCAGACAGATATTGCAGACTACTACGTAAAAAGGAGCATGGGACTTGATGTCAAATATTCTTACCCTTTTCAGTTTTCGGATAAAGAGAGTTAACAGGAGCCAGAAGAGGGTTGCAGCCACACAGGTACATGTCAGAGTGATCAGCTCCAGATTAGACTTGTCCGAGGTTCCTGGAGAGAGAAAAATACCATGGTGGTGCTAAAGAGCAATTCTCAAATGTAGCGTCTCTGTGATTTTATAAAAGAGGTTCACTGTCCTTCCATGGTTCCTCACGGCAAGTGAACTCTGTGGCGCACGAATTAGTCTCTGCTAACTCAGGCAGGGTCCACAATATTATCATCATAAAGTCAGACATAAATGAAAAGACTTTCCAGAAATCCTGCTGTTGAGTTTGCGAGTGTTGTCACCCAGAAAGAGCTAATTGGGAATCAGAGGGGAACTTAAAAATGGGAAAAAAATATAAGGCAGGAACAAAAGCCCATTAAAATGCTAAATTCGGCATATGTGAGATCTTCCTAATGGGTTTTAAGGGAAATTCTAAAGAAAAAGAAAAAAAAAAGTGACATAAAAGGGCTCCTTTGGGACTCACAAAATTCTTCAAAGTAGATTTTAAAAATAAAAATAAAACTCAAGGTCTATCATAATTGTCTGCTCACTCCTTTTGGAACAGCAGGCCAGACTAGCCACATCCTCTCCCCGCATCCAGGGCTGCCTCTATTTCTGACCTTGTAGGACTGCTGGGGCCGAGGGGAGGAGAAGCGGTAGCTGCTGGGGTGGGATTCTTCCCAGTCACTTCGTTTCCCAGAATCACAGAGCTCAAAAGCTGGGCACCATTTCTCCATGACCAAAAAGAGAAGGCCTGAAGTACTCAAGGGAAGCCTCTGCAGAGTAAACTCTGTGGAATTCGTAAAGGAATGCCCCCGGGGGCCCCAACGGTGGGTCCCTGCTCACCGATTCCAGCGGACAGTCTCCCAAGAATCCTAAAGGGATGCCGCTATCCTTTAACTTCAGTAACAGGAGACAGAGGCTTAGTATTGTTAGTCCAGGAACAGGTGAAACTTACTCTTCTTAGAGATAATGATGTGGATGAGAGCATTTATTGAGCATTTCCTAGGAGCCAAGCCCTCACACCACCCTATGAAGTAGATGAAAGTAGGAGGCAGTAATATCCCCATCTCATGGGTTCCTCGTGTGGGCTCTTTGTTTCGATTCAACAAAGATGTGTTGAGTCCTGTGACAGGCAAGGTTCGAGGTTGGAGGAGAGGGACATAAATGAGGGAAGGCAGTCCCTCCCAAGGCGCTCACTCACAACCCAACCAAGAGACTTCAAGGCCAATGCAAAGGAATTAGATAAAGAGTTTGGGGGTTGAAGGAATAATACTGTTTGGAAGAGGTGACATTTGAAATGGATTTTGACCTATGGAGATGAAGGCGGGGAAGGGCATTACAAGCAGAGGGAACAGGACTGGGAAATGACAGGGCGCCGACAGCAGTTAACGCAAGGGAGGGGACAGGACCAGACCCTAGAGAATTCTGAGCAACTGTGAAGCGTTTAAACTAAACACTTCAGGCAGTTGGAGTCAGTGAAGGCCCTCTGCCCTGAATAATAGCAAATACGCAAGCTAGAAACAGGAGTCCCTTCCTCTTCTGTTATCCATTCAGCCACCAAGGACACATGGCCCCTTCCTGCAGGCCATACGCCCCACCACAGCATATTGTTTAATCTAGAGGGAAAACTGACTTTTTCTCTGTATCTGCTCCATCACAGAGTCCTGACCATTCTTCCATGACTCATGAAACGATCACCCCCTGTCCTGCCCGCTATCACTGCCTGAACCAGGGCCTCATCAGTTCTCTCCTGGACGACTTAGGGTGCTGGCTTCCTAACCAACCTTGACTCCCAGTCTCTCCTCCACGTTGTAGCCTGAGAGATCTTCTGAGCCACAGATTTAATCCTATGACTCCTCTGCCTAAATTCCATCACTGCCCTTCCTACCCTTTGTCACTGTCAGAATAAAACTCCAAGTCCTTAGGTCTTCCATGCCCCACCCCTCCTGTACCTCTATGCTTTGGCCTTTGCTGTTTCTCTACCAGCATATAAGCCTCCTGGAGGCTGAGGCACCATCTTATTCATCTTTATATGGGTGAATTAGTGGATAAATTGTGTTTTGTTTTGTCTCCAAATTGCATCATAAACATTTCCAAGGCTTCAGGGTCAAAATCCTCTTCATGTGTATTAATCCAGTAAGTATATGGAACACCACCTATGTCCCAGGCTCTGTTCTTGGTGCTGGTATGTAGTGGTAAATGAAAGGGCATGGTCTGGAACTCCCAGTCCGGCATTCAGATCCAAACCGAGGAGTATGTTCACACTGCTTTGTGAGCTTGTGGTTGTTTCCCTGCACCTCATGGGATTGATTGAGAACACGGTCCTAGAAGAACTTTCTAAATATGACAACCTTTTCTCTCAGTATGCATCTTCTTGATGGGAATGTTATAAGTTCAAGTAACCATGAGTTTGGACTTCCTCCCCCAGAGTGAGTGGTCTGGTGTTTCTTTGCTGTGTCCATGCACACGCGCGCGCGCACACACACACACACACACCTTTGCTAATGCTGCAAATAAGTTTTGTGGACTCTGATTGCCACTTGCTCTGGGGACCATGGCCTTTGGCTGTTGGAGATGCTGACAGCATCTTGAGACATGGCACTGCCCACAGCAAACCTCTGCAGATGCTCCTGCACGGACTGCCCTGGGGGAGGCCCCCTCCTGGTGTGGGAACTTTCCCCACTGCATTCCCCAGGGCAGGGAGTTGACCCCCAAAGTAATTCCATAGTCCTTACTCAGGCAAAATTCCTTTCAGTGGGGCCAAATGTGTTTGTGTGCACTTACACATTTAAAGAATCAACTCATTATAAAACATCTTCAAGATGACCATTTACCAGCAGGGAAAGACATATTTAATATTCTGTGACTGCTTGCTTAAAACTGAAATAAGGATTTACAAGATAGAATGTAGTATCTTTGCTCCATCTCTATCTCATTTGGTAGCTCCACCCCTGTCTTTATTTGGAAAGTAACCCTCAGGGTAGCCTTCTGCTGGGCAGGCTGATTTAAGTCAGTAGCATCTCTTCTTATGCAGCTCTTGGATGTTTTCTCAGAGGTCAAACATCCACCCACTGGCCTGACTAGACCCAGCTTCAACTGGCTGGTGACAGCTGATGTGCTCAATCCATGAAATAGCCCAGCTGTGCGTGGCAGTGGGAAGGAGGCCAGCGGAAACGTGGGTGGGATTTGACAATAACTGGTTCTCCCTGGGGCTCAGGGACATTACTGCCCTGCAATGTGTGTGGAAGGCCAGCATCGGGACATGGGACAAAGTTATTTTTATATGGGATAGTGACAAGAAGAAGGCCAGTTTGAAGAGTTAGGGTAGTTGTACCTTTATTACAGATTGCTGACCCTGTTCTCCACAGCTTTCTGTGTCATTTGCCCTTCCAGACTTCAAACCATCTCTCCTGGAATAGGAAGGGCTGGTGCCACACAGGGATGACTGACTTCTGAAGGGCGATATTATGTGTAGAGTCTGTACACCATGCAGTGTCGTGCCGCCCTGCGCGGAGCCTTTGTGTGGGTGATGCAGCCCCCGCTGCCCAGGCCTGGGCTGTGAGGCGGTGGCATCGCACCGGGCACCACGCTGCTGGAATCAGCAGGCAGCGCGGCTCAGGCAGTCTCACTGGGGGCGCTTCCCACAACGTGCGGGGGCCTCCACAGAAGAGCGGCCCTGGCCCCGGAGCCAAGGGCTTCTGAGACTGAGCTCCCGTTTCACCAGGGAAGGACTCAGGGCCCTGGCTTCCTCACCCTCCACATGCAGCCGAGACAACGGCCCTGCCCTCTCGGGAGGGGGGCTTAAACCTGGAGAAAGCTGTCATCTTCGAGACTTCCTCTCCCTACCCCATCTCCCTTTCCTTTTTTTTATTTTTTTGGATTTCAAGTACAAATAATTTTTTTTCCCTCCCAACAGATTGCATATATCACAATTTGTCTTTTCTTTCTAAAACTAATGACTTTGGCCGAAGTACAGATCATTTCTACAGACACAGAGTCATTCTGTTCCCTGAGGAGTGTGCCCAGCACCGCAGGACGGCTTTGGTGTTATTCCCTGGCTCTACCATCGGTTTAATTTGATGTAACTGTTTATGTGGCTTTATTGCCCATTCAGCTACTCAGAAGGAGAGTGTGCATTCATTCTGCATCTCCAGCGCTGGCCCGAGGGAGGCCTCCATATATACTTACATATGGATGAAAAGGAACTTAATCAGATACACCTGGACCTGACTGACCCCACAAGCCAGTCAACAGGGCCACCTACATCTAAAACCCAGTAGCCAGTAACCCAGGTAACCTTATGAGGTCAATTCTCTATGGCTTACTGAGTATTAAAATTGGCCTCCATACTATTTGTGTACTTTTTAGGAATCTGTGTACACCAGTTTGGAGCCCTTCTTAAGGACAGTGAGGTATGGAAATACTGTATTTAGATTAAATTAGAAGTACATTTTCAAGGGTAATTACAGGTAAAGATATTTAAAACTGCTGTTATGTGCCATCGGTTCTATAATGCATTTTTATGAGAACAAGTTAGATCCTTAGGTCAAACAGGAACTTTGTGATTTGGAATGCCTTTGGTTGACTCACTAGCTGAGTAGAAAACTAATACAGAAAGCTTTGCTGAAATGGAATTTGGTTGATCGTACTAACAAACAATAATATTAGCTGATGCTGAAAAGGTTTCTGTTATATGCCAGATACTGTTGCCATGCTATGAGGTCGGTATACCATTGTCATCCTCCACTTTCTAAATGAGTGAACTGAAGCAGTGGGAAGGTAAGTCATTTGCCCAAGGGACACGCTCATGAGCAGTGAGGCACCTACGCCTCATCTCCTCCCGGGGACTCTGCTGCTGAGAACTGAGAGGCTATAGAGCAGTGGTTGGACCTGGGTCCAGTCCTCAGCTCTGCCACTTCCTAGCTTTGTAACCTTGGACACAGTCCTAAGCCTCTCTGCCCCAGGTTCTCATTTGTAAATAGAAAAAAATCCTCATTGGATTCTTGCAAAAGTTAAGTAGATTAATGCAGGATATGTGCTTAAAACAGTGCACTGAATGTTC